TGGAGGGAGAACTTGAGGCGCGTTCTCTCCAGTGACTCCCTGGGAAACAAAAACACCAGATGAGCCCATCTTCTTCCTCCTCCTCCTCCTCCTCCTCATCTCCCCCCAAGACAAGAGAACAAATAGAGGAGGCACATCTGAACCGAGTATCCCTATCATAGGAATCATATCTGAAGCATTCCAAGGTGGGTATAAGGTTGCAGCAAACAGAGCGCAGACACAACTATGAGTTAAAATAATAATAATACAAAAAAAAAAAGCTTTACAGGGTTTTACCTCAAAGTTTTTAGATGCAGGACAGAGTGTTCCCTCTGAGGGGACAGACGCTTTATTTGGGAATTTCTTATCTGTTGGACAGGCAGACACTTGAAACCACGACACAATTTGCTTTTAGATGGCCGGCTCAGAGCGGCTTTGAGCGAGAGCCGACCTGCATGGTGAGGTGGCAGTCGGAGACCGCCTCGATGTCCACCACACAGTCCAGGACCAGGCCACTCCGGCCTCCGCCAGAGCCATGGAGGGTGGTGCTGATGGCCGCGCTGTACCTGTAGGTGTATCTCACACCTTTCTGAGCGGAGAAGTCAGCGCTCTGAGACCCTGGGGGTGTAGAATTAAAAAGAAAAATGTTAAAAATCTAGTGTTAAGTTCCTACTTTTGGAAAAGAAAAAAAGGCCTTTTTTGTTATTGGTGTGTTTCCATGTAAGGCTGAGGCTAACAATTATTTTACTTATCAATTATTCTAACGATCAATCAGTTCTTCTGATGATTAGTCGCATAAAAACATGACACATTCTGCAGAGTTTTCATTGCAGCGCTTTAGCTTATTTCATACAATATGAGAAATACACGAGAGTTCAAATAAACAAGTAATTCAATTCATTTTTCAAACATGAAAATAAACATTTTGTTGCATAAATGCAATAAAACAGCTTTGCTTTAGTGAAGACAATCATTTGTAGGAAAGGATCCATCTGCAGCTAAAAAACACTTCCAACATCAACATGTGAAAAGCTCAGTTCAACATCAATAATGTCATCAGTACAATGTGGGGCTGCTCTGGTAATTACTTTTTGGATTAATTGATTAATAATTGGATAGCAAAATGTGCTAAACTGTAGTTTTTTTGTTTTGTTTTGGGGGTTTTTTATACAATTTTGAACCAGGAATAGCTCAATTTTTGCCTCCTGATGAGTTCTGGGTCAAATATTTTTACATACAAAGAGGTTTTTTTATCTTCATCACTAAATGCATGTGTATTTTGTACAGTTTTAGTGAAATTACAGTGTTGCACTTACAGTAAATGTCCTTCCTTAGAGTCTCTATGCTCCACTTAACGATTAATCGATCACTAAATTGGTTGAGGATTACTTCAACTATCAATTAATCCCATTTTTTAGCCCTATTTCCATGCAACAATTTTAAACAACTTTATTCTGTGCAAGAAAAAAAACATATCTCACCAAGACAACTTGTGTCACAGATGATTGGCTGCACCAGAAGACAATCACCTACTAAACATAAGGTCCAGTAGAAAAACACAAGGAAAGAAAACAATAACTCAACTTTAAGGTCAGCAGTAGTGATGATAAACCCTCTCACGTCTCGTGTCATGACCTCAGATTTCTCCACAAACAATAACATGAAATAAAAAAATCTCAACTCTTACCATGAAGAAGCAGAACAATCAAAATAACACGAGAACAAGCAAGCAGCAACGCGGACACGGCCATCGCAATCCAGAGTCAGCGCAGGTCCGGCAGCCTCAGCAACCCCAACGTGCACATGAGGGCTGAAAGCCAAGCTCTGTTCGCTTAACTCAATGACCGGGCTTGTATGTGTGGACTTCCACTGTGACCCATCCTGCTGACAGCGGCCAATCAGGACGCAGATCCTGAGCTAAAAGCTACAAACACTCAACAGGCCAGTCATTGGCGAGGCCTCGAGACTCAAAGCACATAAAGACGTGTGGCCAATTTGGACATATGAGGCACATATGTAGAGAAAATGTAGGTTTAGTATATGGAGCACACATCTGCTTGTAAAAGTACTAGTATTCGTTGACTTTTCCACATTTTGAAATGCTACAACCACAGAACTTTAATGTATTTTATTAGGATTTAATGTGAAGATGGTGGATAATTGGGAAGAGGAAAGAAAAGGAGATGTTTCAAAATTTGTTGCAAGCATTTACTCCACTTTACACAGAAATACTAAATAAATTCCAGTCTAACCAAATGCTTTTGAGTTTCATAGTTGGTGAATAGATTCTACCTGTGTGGAATTACACTCAGTAAATCCAGTTCTTCTGTTTCTGTCCTCACAGCTTTTGTTAGAGAAAACTGGAGAACAAACAGCATGTCGTCCAAACGACACATCAGACTGGAGGAAGATGCAGAGAAGTTCAAATCAGAAATAAATAACTTCCCATAAATCTCTGCTACATCAATCCTGATGGAAAGAGTGACCCGAATCCTGTTTTTTTTTTTATAAAAAAAGACACCATTTCCTACAAAGAATAAGTTACCACTACTTTATTCTTTTAATCAATATATTACACGCTAAGTCTGTTTTTTGGGGGAAAAAATTGTAACAAATGTTTTGTAATTTTTTTTTTTCATTACTATTATGTTTTTTGGCCTCTGATCACTTTTGACTTGACAATTTTGACCCACGCCACAAAAAATTTGTACCCCTCTGCCGTACATCTAATGAAGCTGTATTTCCATGGGAAGTGTTGGATAAGGTAACAGGAACACTTTGTGACAACTAGATAGTATATTTGATCAGCAAGCCATTGATCCTTTAATTAACAAACAAATAGTTCATTTAAAATTGACAGACACTTGACAAGACTTATTACACTTATGTTTTTATGCAACAAGAATAGAAAAAGGCTAAACTAGCTGTTGTGCATCATTCATTAGCAATTGACTAACAGAGACACACCACAGCAACGCTTGTTAGCATTAAGCTAAGTAAGGATTTTATTTCACAAGACACTAACCCTGCCATTTTCTTCTTCAGACACTTTGTTGTAGATTGTTGGGTTATTTTGTTGCATGACCTGATTTGTACCAATCCTCCACTGTGAGACAGATGGTCTCACATTTAATAGGACCAGGGCATATTGCCGGGCAACCAGCTCTAAAGTGATCATTTCAAAACCTCCAAGTTTTCCATAAAGCTATGCCCCTCCCCCACATGTTGCTGTAGATTCCAAGTCAGCTTCAGTTAATTTCTAAGATTTTCAACCGACAAGATGAGAAGCCGTATTTCGCTTCAAAGCACCACAGCTCAAGAACAAACTTTTAGAAAACTACAGAACAGCTGAAACACTGGTTCCTTTTATATTTGATGTGTATTGATGAAGGCAATCATGAAAATGTAATGTTTGTTACTGGTTCCTAAGTTGGTATTATGTGCTTATGACTTTTTATTTTTGTGTTTTTACGATGCTATGCAGCTTAAAAACGTCAAATCACTGAAATGTGCGACGCAAATAAACCTGATGGGTTTGACTGACTGAAGGTTGTTTCCGACGTGAACAAAACCAAATTCACTTTTTGAAATAAAAAAACAATTATTCAATTATTTAAGACTTTTATTTTAATTTTATTACAAGAACATTGAATGTCAAACATTATTTTAAAAATTATTCACTTTTTGAGAATTTGATTCAACCAAGGAAGGGGATCACTTGAAAGATAACACAATATATATTTTTCAAAAAATAACATTCATTTAAGATTTTTATTTACATTTTGTCAACAAAAAAATACAGCATGTCAAAAATTGATTCTTAATAACCAGTACACCAATACATGTTGCAGCAATACACTGTTTTTGGGTGATTTGTCTTGGCTGAATCAGGCTGTCGTTGAAAGAGCTACTTGTCATCACCCTAATCTTTAGCTATCACTTCCAGCCAGAAAATACATATTAGTAATATAAGAAGATCTCTTTGAGTCTGATTCTGCAAGGGGTGTGAATATATTTAGCTGAATCAAGGTTAAGATTTTCCATTGCTTTTAAGGGACACAAAACAACCTGCTTTCAATCATTTCTGGCTGCAATATAAACTGACCATGGACTGAAAAGTATTAATTTTTGCATGAATATTTCATGAAACCGTGGTATTTTACTCAAAGTTTTCACACTCATAGTCTCTCATTCTAACCCAGGGTGACATTTGACACTCAAATCGCACACTCAGCTTTCTGTGATAACAAAACAGACGCAATCAGCAGCCCCATCAGCCCCAATAAGTCTACATTGTGTTACAAAAACCTAATTAAAAAAAAGCTTGTCAAAAACAGTGATGAGTTTTGGATTTATCTACTCTCGGCCAATCAGCCACGTCCTCTGACGTGGATGTGGAGGGGGGTTAAAAAGAAACTAAATTACCCAACAGGCTTCATCCCAGCCTCCTTTCCCCATCATTAAGCTCCCAGAGTGCCACCTCCTTTCCACGATCCACCCGCCAGCAGCGTGGTCCACGCCCGTACTGTGCGTATTGGTTCACGTCACCTTCTCGTACGATGAAAAACACAAACAGCCCTTTTTTTTCCCACAACTGAGGACGATCAAAATACTATCCTTTCCCCACTCGTATATTAAAGTGTGGGAGGTTCATTTTACATTCTGTCAAATGCAATATTTCTTTGTTGAACAAAATGTTTTCATGGCGTTAGTTTTAATGAAGTGATGACATGACAAACAACCGCATTACAAACAATGCCCACGTTTTTTGTTGCTGTTTTTTCTTTTTAATATAAATAATTTGAACGCGACAATCAATGAGACGTTAGAACAAACAGGGGTATATATTAATAGCATTTTAACATTTAATGGGAGATGAAAAAGTTTTCACCGACTTCCCGTGAACGCGCCGCTAGTCCGGACTAGAGAGGGAGGAGTGGGGAGGAGGGGAGGAGGGGAGGGGGGGAGGACGGGGGGGGGGGGCGTGGGCGTGGGTTGACCGGCTTTCTCCGAGGCTCAGACACAATGAACCGTCAGACGGAGAGGGGCACGCGCGCTGGGCCCGGGGCATTAGCATGATTGTAGAACATTAATATTTTTAGCCGTGTCTGGATACTGTTATTTTAAACTTCCTCTTAAACTGCTGACTCGCCGCCTGACCGCATCAACTCTCGACTGGAAGCAGGTTGGACGTCGAGTTTGAGGAGAACGAGGTCGGGATCAGACCAACGTCACAGTTTGCCCCTCCTAGCGAGACTTTTCGTTCTTTTTTCCCCCCCGCGGACAAACACATACATACACTAAAAAAAAAAACCCGAAACCAAAATAGATAAAGATGTCGTTGCCTGCTTCTTCTGATTACTTCGCCGCGGAGTGTCTCGTCTCGATCTCCAGCGGTCCCGTCCTGCACAGACCCACTCCGGTGGCCCCCGCCAGCCAGCCCGCCCCGGTGGGCCTTCACCCCGGGGAGCCCGATGGGTCGAGCGAGGACAGGGAAGTTCGAGAGACGCTGAGGCTGGAGGGAACCAACATGATGACGGTGGCCGGGATCCTCACCGACCTGCACAGCAAGTTCCGCCCGATGTCGGCCTACTCGGAGAGCAGCAACTCCTCGTGCGGTGGGGAGAGCGGGTACACCACGTTGTCCGACCCCACCACCCCGACCATGACCCCCTCCGCGACACCCGTCCCCGGACAGCAGCAGCATCTCCAGCAGCAGCACCTCCGAGGGGCCGGGGGAGTCGGGCTCCCGCGGTCCCCCGTCAAGCGACATCAGTGCACTTTTGACGGATGCGACAGAGTTTACGGGAAATCGTCGCACCTGAAGGCTCACATCCGGACACACACAGGTACGCGACAGCCGCTTCGTTACATCAGCACTTTACAGGACGTGTTAGCTAGCTGTATGCAGCCACACCGTGTCCCCGGATCCCTGCTTTTGTTCTCGCCCACCTTAATTACAGCGTAGGAAATGCTTCGTGTGCCGAACTTTTATTAGCAAGCCTGGGCTTTTTGTTAGTTTTTTTTTTTTATTATTTTACATTTTTATCCTCGTTGGGTTTGTTAGATAAACGTGGCCCCACAAAGAAAGGGAGAGGGGAAAAAAACGAACTCCCCTCGGTGACAAAGAAGTAAACTAACAAAAGAACAGGGCTGGACGTTAAAAACTGTGACGAAAGTTTTCCTCCCCGCTGGATTTGCATATGAAATGAACGTAAGACGAAACCTTAACGTCGGGGACACGGAGTTCAGAAGCAGACACGTTTCTGGCAGCAAGTGCAGGATGGGGGCGACTCTTCCTCTTACCATCCTCTCTCTGTCTCTCTCTCTCTCTTTTCTCCCTATCACTCCTCTATAATTCTGAATTATTGATACAGGTTTAGTCAGAACAGCCGCAGGAGGTCCCGTCTGGATATGGAAACCTCATTTCTCCCTGTAACCTATTCATTTTAGCAATCCGGCATTAAAATAGAGCTCTGGTGGTAGAAACATGGCCATGGGGGGAACCTCTTCTGACCCCCCACTACACACATAACCAAACACCGACACACGCCTCCTGACAAGCCCATCCTGCTGAAACGACAACTTTACTGTACGACTTACGGCCTCATTTAATGACAAAAGATAGAAAAATGTTGGAATAAAGCCAAAATTTTGTATGCGGGCTCAACATTGAGTGAGGTCACTTGTGCGTCTCCATTTTACCTTGAAACGTGTGAAAAGTTATGCAGCAAAACCACAAAATGTTCTTAACGTATCTGAAAGATAGTGAGGCCTAGTGGGGCTTAACCACAGTGGATGGTCTAACCTTTGCATTGCTTAGAATAAATGACAGTTAACTTACTTGACCTTTGACTTGACCTTTTAGTCAATCAAAACTGACACATTAATTGCTGTAGAATCACACAATCCTTACTTTTACAAGTACAGCTTTGAAACTGAAATGGAAACTTGATTTCTGTGGTAAAACCAGGTTTTGTCAGACTATGTAAGCATGTGACCTCGTATCAAATTAATGGAGTTTTCTTTAATTCCTTACAGAAATAGTATTTTACAGACTGGTTTATCATTAAAAACAGAAGAAAACTAGTGGGAATTACTTCTTTTTGCTGCTTAAAGCACATTTTTTGAAAGTTAGATTTCACTACACATGTACTGTACACATGTAATTAGCTTATGCTGACATCTGGGACAGCGGATCAAATGGAAACATTTATGTTTGAACTGTAGATTGTCCATCTTTAAATGAAATGTAATATTAATAGTTATGGATAGACGTATATTTTTACTGGGAAAAAAATCATAAAATATTTACAGATTAGCTTTTTCTCATGTTGTCAGAAATAGAATAAAGTTGTAATAAACAAAGAATCTCATCAGTCTCCCGAAACCCTTTAGTGCTGATTTAGCACTTAGACAAAAGCTGTGAATCACTAACTTCCTGTCCATCAGTGATGTACAGCCATGTTTCTGTGCAACACTGAGGTTTGACATCTTTTTTTCCTGAGTGCCACCCCTTAGTCTGTGCCGCCCTGGGCAATGAACCCCATTGGTTGCACCTATTACTTTCCAAGATAAATATTCTCTATGCAAAAATCCAAGCTAAGCTATAAAACAGCAACCGAACATGTGGATCAGAGGCAGGAAACTTCGTGGAGAGAACTCACACTTGGAAGTTCTCCAACAACAACGTGGTCAGGCTTTGTGAACATGGCAGCAGAGAGCGTCACGACTGATCCCAGTGGCTTTGACTCACGTCTGCAGGAGATTAAAGATGGCAGCGTGCGTAGGAGAGGCTGGCCGTGAGGAGAGAATCCCCACATGGGGGTCGTCTTGTTAAAACTGAGCTTGCTTTCAGCGTGCAGGGAGATTTTCCACTAATTTTCCTCCATACAATACTTTATTGTACAGTGATAAAAAGGACATAAAGAAAGCTGTATTGTTGCCCTGAGAAGATTAATATATTACGCTCTAAGCCAGATTACTTAAAATAAGATGTACTCAATGCTTAGCATCAATGGTATTTACTCTGTAAAATAATGTCCCCATAATGTTGGGATTGTGCACATTATTACTCATCCATTCAATCGACGCTGCTCACATGCACAACTCTTAATTTTTACGTTTTATTTTAGAATACAGCTTAATAATTGCTCAAATGTTCATTAAAATATTTAAGACAGTTGAGATCAGCTAACACTGATTTTCTTCATCTGAAATTTTGGTAATAGTTTTTTCAATAGGTGAGTCAATGTTAGAATGTCATTTAATGCTGCTGTTCCTTCATTTGTGATTGCGTGTGCACATGGCGAAAAAGGAGATTGAGAGTTCCATGCAATGCAGTCTGTGACAAATAATGCGCCAGTATGTCTACATACTTGCTTTGACATAATTCCTAATCGACATCGTCTTGAGTTTTAATAACTTTATATTTTAATACTCCTACTATTTAAAAGTAGGTAAATCTCTCTATCTGTCTACACAAATGAACCTCCTGGCACCATGTTTAATTCCTAATAGGAAGTTGTATTTGTTCTGAAACAATCTGATTGACTTTGAGCTACAGTGCCCCCTATAGGTTTGGCATGTTCAGAGGTGAATTTATGAGGGCTTAGGTGGATGAAAACTTTTCTGACACCTTTCCTGTGTGTACAAAATTATTTATTTTTTAAATGATGTGGCAGAGGTATTTGTTTTGATGAAGACCCAGCTTCAAACTCAGAGTCCTCATGAACTATGTCCCGATTGTTTAGATGTTTCCTGACCAGCACACCTCAGTAAAATGGCAGTAGGTTTCTCAAAGTCTTGCTAACGATCTAATCTTTTGATTAAAGTGTTTCAAAGCTAAGGGACACCTCAAAGTTAAACGACACCCACCCTGAAGAAGTGGAACTTGAGACCACTGCTTGAGCAAGCTGTATGACTGTTAGCACAGTGAGCATGGTTAGCATTACTTGCTATAAACCTCAGTTTCCGCATTTCCAAATATCTCCTGAGGCGTTTTATCTCAATGGCTCTAAAGAAGGTACAAATTGATGTCCCACCAATAATGAAAATGGCCAACCTTATCCTACACCCCAGTTTTAATGCATTTAAGAAAAGGGCTGAGGTGGGGAAGGCCCTACTTTCATCTAGCAGTGGAGTCTCCCAAACACCACCTTACACCCTGATTTCAATATATTGTAGACTTTACATATTTATATGTATCATTATTCACAGTAACGCAAACATATCACATACGGGGAAAGTTGGGTGTGGGATGGTGGAATGGCCTCTCTCTGTTGCTTCCTTATGTCTGCGCTGGTTGGTGTGAACAACCTCACAGTCTCTGGCGGAGTGGCTCGCTCCACGATGATAAGGATATTCTGGTCCTGCTTGAATTGGATCCCAGAGGATGGCCCAGCCCCTTGTTGTCCCTGGGCGCTGTTCAACGGGGTGGGATAACAGGGTTCCCCTTACTTCCTCAGTCTTTCTAGGTACGCTGTGGATTGCTGGTCTCCGACCAGAGACTGGGGGTATTTGCGGGGTTCCCTCTACTCGGTTTCTGTAGGTGAGGGAAGATGAGGCCACTGGACCCCTGCTGCTACTGAGTGCTATAAGGTTTATCCTCTTCTAAGTAGTTTAGTCTCATGTCAATTCCAGACGACAAATTAACACAGTCACATCCCATCCATACAAGTTCACATTATCAAAAGACAGAAGACTGAACCTCATACAAAACAGGTTCATATATCATTATGCAACCTGTCTACTTTGATGCCAGGATCAAATCTGGATGATTAAAATCACTCATCCAACGATGAAGCCTTGTTGTTAATGTCCTTGTTATTGACCAAAGTGGCCATGGCAATGGAGGCAACCAGCATATCGTATGCCTGGAATGTTGAGGCAGGACACATGAAGAAAAAGCTGCAAACTGATTTCTTGGTGCATGTGTCATGCATAGTTTTATGACTTAAGAGTAAATAAGAATGTATGTAACTGAATGTTAATCTGTGTTGTAACATTGGAGCTAAACTACCAATGTCTACCGGTTCTTTTCTCTCCGCTGCAGGTGAGAGGCCTTTCCCCTGCACCTGGCCCAAGTGCGAGAAGAAGTTCGCCCGCTCCGACGAGCTCGCCCGCCACACCCGCACCCACACAGGGGAGAAGCGCTTCCTGTGCCCGCTGTGCGACAAGCGCTTCATGCGCAGCGACCACCTGATTAAGCACGCCCGCCGCCACCCTGACTTCCAGCCCTCCTTGCTGGCTCGCTGCAAGGCCACGCCCGCGTCTTCCCGCCAACCCGCCCACACCTAGGAGGGCACTTAGGTGATGTCCGTTTCAAAGTCAACCAGCTACTATCAAATCCACTGGGCTGTACTCCAAAACACACATGCACACAAACGCAAGGAAGAGGTGAACATCTAAGAAATCTCCCCATTTCAATCCTCACTTCCCCCAAAAAATGAACTCTTCGGACCTAGTGCTCTTCCGCTTGCACACGCGTGTATAGAAGTTTACAGAACAGCAGATTGGACTGAGCCTTCTGAGGTGTTAGAGCTTTACTTCCGGTGAGTAGAAATTACGCAGCGCTGCGTAAAACTGAACATATGCAAGAACAAAAAAGGAAGTGCTTTTAGAGATTCACCACAGAACGATAGACGGAAGAATTTTCTCCAGAACATAATTGGTTCCTCACCACCACCCTGAAATTTAAAGGTACAAAATGCCTGTGAAATTCAGTCATACCAAGAAACATTCCTGAAGCTTGCCTCCAACATATTAATACTGATTTCACCTTTTCTAACCAAAAAAAAAAACTAAAGAAAAAAAACTCACAACTCACAGAATACCTCATTGTTTAACGCAGGTTCACGGCAGCACAATCAGTTTCAGTCCTGATGCTTTCTCTTTAGCTTCAACCAGAACGGTGGAGTGCATCCTAAGCCATACAGAACTCAGAATCCTAACATCTCATATTCAAACACTTTTTTGCAAGTTGCAGGGATTTTTCACATTTTCTTTCATTTCTGTAAAAGAAAAAAAAAGATGATGTTCAAGCTTCTCCTCATTCAGATTTTCACTGGTTTCTCATGGTTCATCCTTAGGGCTAAGCGTTAAGTTTGTGATATTAGATAGCCGAACGGTGACTAGAACTTTTTTTTTTTTCATTTTTGCTGTTGCTTTGCTTTTTTTGAGTCCTAGCGATGAACCATTCACGTTTATTCATTATTAGTGACTATATGTGGAATATCTTGCCTATATTTCCATCCGATCGCATCGTTTGGTCGGGAAGCTGAACACACCTCTCTGTAGACAAGCAGTTTGCACACCACTCTGAAGGCTAGAATCATTATCTTCACATAATACGCAACAGTGTTATGTCTAATATTGATGCAATTGTATATAAGCTTTAAGCTTTTAATGTAGAATAAATGGTAATGCTACTAGCAGCAGAAATGATACATGTAGTCCTTATATTAGGGGTAATATTATGCTAGATAGGTTGGCGTTGCCAGTGAGAGTTGGTGTGTGAGTTTTGTTTTCCCTTTTTTCTTCTCTGTATATTTTGAAAGGGTAGTGATTGAAATTGTAAGCGTGTGCGTGTGTAAAAGTTGGACTTTTTTTTTTTTACTTTTCTAGGCGTGGAAGAGAATGGTTGTGTGTTTAGCTCGGTGCTGCCTTCAGATTAAAAGCATTCGATCCTCTGGCTTTGTCGGGCCAGATGGCAGAATGTGTGGAAGTGCGTGGGATCAGGTGTGCCAGATGGAGTTTTTTTCCCCCCCCCCTCTCCTTCTTCTTCATCTCCGATGCAGATAAACAAGTCGTACAGGTCGCACTGGAAGAATAATCTGATTGCAACAGTTTTTTTTTTGTAATAAGATGCAAACAAAACACGGCTGCCATCACTCGATCAAACGAAAGCAGCCAACAATTCTGACTGCTACATTGTCAGACCTGAAGGAAAACTAAAGTGAAAGCAGCTTTCATTAAACTAATAAATTCAGTTTGGTTCTGCTTGCTTTGCTGCTTTGTCATTATGCACAGTAACAGTTTTCATCGCTCTTCAGTCAAAATTTCAGTGGAGAAGAAAGAACATGCAGTTCATTGCTGCACTGCTACAGCCAGACATTCACTGATATGTGGAAGAATATTATGGCTACTGGCACACAAAAAAACGATTCATAAAGTCAGAGTTTTGAGAATAAAGTTGGAATTTTGGGATTAAAGTCGGATTTTCATTCATCATTATTATTATTATTTCCCAGAGGCCCTGATCCTCCTCCATAGATAGCAGTTATAACTGGTAGGGAAAAACAGGTTTTGTGGGTACAATACATGTTATTTATCAGCATGAAGTTGCTACTAGTTTACTTTGTGCACTGAGCACATTAATTAGCATATGATCCATTTTGAGTTACATTAATTTTACTTTTTATGAGTCAAAGCACAAATTATCATAAACCCACTGCAACTATAAGTAGAGGGATAGGAACTGTAATTCCTGGCTGTTGTGTCAGGGAACAAAATGGCGAAGCGGCAAAAGAAACCCAGAACCATTTTTGTCAAATGAAAACATGTACCAAATAAAACGTTGAAAACTTGTCGCATAAAACCCTCCAAAACACGAGTAAGAAAAGCAAATCATTCAGGAATGAGAAGGAGCCGGGATTAAATCTTTAAGTAAAGACTAAAAATGACCAAAGTATTGTATTAATTATTGAAATATACAGTTACATCAATGTTTTCTGTAATATTTAAAATGCTTTGAGCACGTCCCCCTTTTTTTCATACTCCATCTGAACAGGTGTTTTAGTCCGAGGTCCACAGTTTTCACTAAAGCCTCAAGAGGGCGACGTAGAGCTGAGAAGAGACAAAAAACAAAAAAAAAGGAAGTGAACGAAGCTAGACTTGATGTATCCTCCTCCCTGTGAGATGAATTATCCCCACGGGGAAAATGACAATTTTCTCTTCGCTCCGTTCCTGAAAAACAAGCGTCGTTGTTCTTCTTCTGCTCGAGATTTGGCTTTTTCGTGTGAATGGTGCTACCTTGTGGTTGGGCGTTTTATTGTAGCTGTGGAAGCTTGGAGAAAACAGGTTCACTGCACCACTTCCTGTTGCATCACAAGTAAGGGGCTTTTTACCGAAAAATGTTCGCTACTGAAAAGTTTAGTCATTCTGAAAAGCGGACTTTAGTACCAGTATCCTTTCTGGTACCAAACCCGGCCACGTACTTAAGAAGCCAGTTTGTGTCTTGTGTCAGTGATCCCCACACTCTTTATCCCACATTCCTTTTGTCTCAGCGACCACTTCTATTGAGAGACGTTTGAAAGCCTTAAGCATCGTCATGACTACTTATTCACCGTGTTTACAGCTGCATCATCACAAAGGTGGATATTCCATCAGAAACATGCAAGATGGCACTTTCTTTGTTCCCTGAAAGATGCACATGGCTGAAGAGTGGAATGGCTTGCACTGTGACTGAGTCTCTACTAGCACGCACTGTGGAGACTTTGCTAATGTTTATAAGAAATGGTTTGTATAAAAAGAGAATAAAACTGCCTTTTCCCCATTTGCTTTAAAAAGCAAGATAAACGAACCGGGTAGTTGCTTTTATTATTCTTGTTGTTTTTCTTTTTTGTTTTAGTCTAACTTAGTTATCCAGGCCATTTCTTCTTGTGGAATTTCTTTTGTAGATGATTGTTGTTCCTTCGTCCTCCGACGTAATCTCTTCCGATTCAAGATGTCTTCCTCTCTGTTTTTCACAAACGGCAGCAGTTCAATGTCGGTCCGTGTCAGTGGGAGCCCATTGAAGTAAAAAAAAACAAACAAAGCAACACTGATATTTTTATACACTTTTTTTTCTGAAGGAGGTTTGCTGCTGGCAGTAACCTACGACCACACGGACTGTTTAAAACAAAAGGAACAAACACAATCTACTTCTGTTTTCAGATGTCCTTCTGTCTCTCATGACAGGTGGACGAGTCAGCTGACTCTCATAGCTATAAAATCACAAGAACATACCTCACAGGTTTACTTTGTTTTGCAGCGTCGGTGCAGATTCCCTCCAACCCAAAATTCCCAGCTTTTCTTTTAGCCTCTAGTTTTCCGAGGTTTGCTGAAGTCCTTTCAAACAGATAAATCTTTCAACTTCCTTTCGGCTTTGGTTACAGCAGGGTTTTTTTTTCTAATAAAGGGTTTAAGCCAACTGCTGGTTAATGCAGTGACCTGAAAGGGGAAATGATCAGAACACAAAGTCTCAGTTTTGTAGAAGAACATTATCCAGTTTGGATGAATCTCTTTGTTTTATATTATTGTTTTCTTTTCTGCTTTGAGGGGCAACAATATCTCAACCACACTAATTCAGTTATGCACACTGTACAGGAAGTGGATGTGCTGTATTTTTATGTTTTATGATTTCTCATTTTTCTACAATGTTGTTTTTTTGTTTTTGTTTTTTTTAAAAAGCTCTCCTATTAAAGCTTTAGTTAAGATCATTTGGAAGAACTGTATAATTAAATAATAGCTGCAAACGGCTGTTTTTTTTAAAAATATTTATATTCTCAGGTGTCTTAAAATTGTAAGCATTGGAGTTTCAAAATTTTCCTGTGCAGCACCGATGTATAAGCATTTTATTACTTTTGCTGATTAATTTATTACATATCAAAGACGCATCATTTATGTGGTTTGTTTTCATAACTCATTTTGTCATATGGGACTGTACTAATAGTACACTGTTTCAATGTTTGTTTTACTATTTCTTTTTTTTTTTTTTTTAAATAAAAAGTCTGACATTCAGAGCTTGTTGTTTGTTTCCTTTTGCTCAGGCTGATAAAGACCATTAATGTACTGCATAATAAACACAGAAAAACTTAAGGTTGTATGAAATTAAGAAAAAAATTATTTCTTAAATAATTTTCTAATGACGAGTTCTTCAGCCTCAGAAGCCTACATCTTAAAATTTGACTAAAAACCTCTCCAGTTTGCAAAAAATGTTGCACAAACAAATGCTTAAAATGACCAAGGTTTAGCAGTACAATGTTATTGTGTTATTGTTAATGTCAAAGTTTTGTAACATTTACAAAACTTTGACAAGCTTGCCCGTTTTTCCATCCTATTTTCTCTCCGTCAGAAGAACTGTTTCACTAAGAGGTGCAGTTCTCACTCCAGCGGCATAGGGGGCGACGTCGAACTGAAGAGAGATAAAAAGAACCAAAAGAAGCCAGAGTCTGAATCCTTGTCTTCCCTGAGAGATGAATTATAATTGTACAAGGACAAATCTCTCCTCACCATGTTCTTTAAAAACAAGCGTTGTTATTCGTCTTCTGCTGGAGATGTGCTCTGTCGTGTGCACGGCACCGCGACTTGGATTTCATGGCACATTACAACCTTTCCATTCCAATTCTGAGAAGCACACCTATCTTAACTGTGTCACGTTTCCCCGACAGCATGACACTCCCACCTTGGGATTATGTTCCTGCAATTACTATCTCATTCCCCTCTATTCATTTAAAAATACTTACAGATTCAAATAATTCTGTGTATTTAAAAAAATATATACATTTTTCATCTAAAAATAATTCAATTTTTTTAATTTCACCATTTAAAGTGCATATTAGCTCATTTAAAAAGTCATTTAATGTGTTTATTTCAAGATGCAGATATAGTTATTTTTGACCCTTTTGGACCTCCATACAGCATGGGATACGGCGTAGGCCTTCTAACTTAATGACGATTAACATTCTGTGTAATAAAAAGAAAAAAAACAAGAGAAAAAAGAAGAAAACAAACAAAAAAACAAAAAAACAAAGCAAATTAACAACAACAAAAAAACATGTCTGTGTTGCAGAGGAAGCTGGGCTCACTGGTTGTTGTGACAACAAAGGCAAAAAAAAGGTTCCAAAAAAAAAAAAATCATATAGAAAAACATGGCGACATCAAACGTCCGCTGGGAAAAGTTCCTCACCGTCCAGAATGTTAGACTCAGTGAGGATCCTTGTTGTCGCTTCCTGTCGCCGTTCAGAGCGAACAGAAAAATCATCACTGATACTTTATAACTCTGGAGGCTCTGAGAGAGCTCAGTTAGAAAGGAGGAGAAGAAAAAAAAAAAACACAGGGACACGCGACGTGACATCAGCCTCTAGGACACAAACAGGCTGCAATGCCTGCTGCCCTCCACAAGGGGCGCTGCGCCACAGCCATTTTCATTACGAGCAGCTTCCAGTAAAAGACCTGAATGGACACGAGCTGCTGATGTTCTGTATGCATAATCTGTATGAGCTGTTTTACTGTTACAGCTGGTGAAGATCTGCGGGTCTGAAATGAGCAAAACAATAAAAACCTTTTACCTTTTGTTTTTGTCATTGCAACAATAACTTACTTTTGTGTGTCGTTAATACACTTACAATTCTGTTTGTTTTTCGCTTTTTTCCCCCGAGTGCTAAAATGTTTAAGATCATCAAACTAATTTTGATCCCAGGCAGGGGGCCAGCAGGGGGCAGTGCTGCTGTGGATCTCATCATTTCTACCAAATGAGATAATAATAAATCAACTTTCTTATGATGATTTATGCTGGCACATAAACTGTAAGTAATTGAATCAATTGAATGCTTTACCTTTTAGTTTAACAATGAGTTAAAAATGACGGTGTTGGAGTTTCAGCTTCAGCCATATTGATCAAAGTTTTCATTTGCTTGGTTACATCAGCAGATTACAAGTGGCTCTTTGGCTTAGTTAATATTTGGACTGACATGTTGTTCTGTTGTGTTTCTGTGTGTGTGTGTGTGTGTGTGTGTGTGTGTGTGTGTGTGTGTGTGTGTGTGTGTGTGTGTGTGTGTGTGTGTGTGTGTGTGTTTTCATAATTTTTTCGTTTGTAAAGAAGCATTTAATTGCCAGAACTTGGACAATAAATCCTCGTTGCTCCTGAATTTAGTTTCTTGTTAAAACCAGTTCTATACGCTGCAAAATCAAAATCGTATCAAGTATTTTTGATCGGGTTTCCAGTGCAAACATTATTATACACTTGAAATAAATCAAACCTCACTCAAAACAAACATGTCAGCAAGACACAGGAGCTTGTTTTAAGTAAATAATAGCGAAATAATTACATGTACTATTGGAAGATTATTTCACTTATAATTATTATATTATTATATAATTATTTCACTACAGTCAGAAAATTGATCATTTTAACGGGATCTCAAAATACACTCCTCTGACATGTTACGACTCCTTAAGAAGACATAGAGAGGCTCTTCTTACCCTCCTCCTCCTGACTTTGTTTAAAAGAGAAGATATTTTGGTTTTAATGAGAGATCAATCTTAAAACTCTTGGTAAAAGAAGATTTTCTTGTTTTAAATAAGTTTTGATTTAAACAAGATCCTGCTCCTGAATTCATTTGCTTTGTGCCCCATCAAAGCAACACACACACACACACACACACACACACACACCACACACACACACACACACACACACACACACACACACACACACCACACACACACACACACAAACACACACACACACACACACGCACACACACAAACTAATTATTTATTTATTTGTTTTGTCAAAAAGAAGGGCTGACAACAATGGCACGCCGGGGACTCCATACAAAAGAGCTGAATCAGTGATAACTGAGTTCAGGAAGTCACTGCTTCACATTTAGTTTTTTTTTTTTTTTTAAACCGGTGTACGGAACGGAACAGAAGGAATGATGTGTTTCCACCCGGACTAATTTTGCTGCAGAACGCCGGTAAATCTGAAAACATCAGCCATGCCTCGCTAGGCAGATCTGGGACCTGCTGTGTTTTACCTGCAGGTGCGTTGAGTGTAAAATGTCCGGAGCATCAGACGGAGCGGAGGCCAACTGGATCCTGCGGCATCCCGCGGTGAGGGACAGGAAGCCTGGCCGGGGGCGCAGCGCTCTGTCGGACCCTCACACTGATTGGTTTCCGTTTTTCAGCTCCAGCAGATGAAAGAGCTGCAGGTGGGGGACAGTGAGCAGATCCACGCGGCTTTTCTGGTCTATATGGATCTGACTGAGGGTGAGTTGGACGCCATGTTTGATCACCAGGGTTACCGGCACCACAGTCTAAAAGTTGCCAATTCATCCTCAAGTTCGTCCTTCTGTTCATCCATCCATCAATGTCTATTGATCTACCCTTTAACCCACATGTTTGTTTATCCATCCGACCCTTTGATTTATCCATCCATCCATCCATAACTTTTGTGGATTCTGGGTTTATTGTTGGACTAAAAAAACCCAAAACAAACAAACAAACAAACCAAAAGCAGCTCATTTCTTAACCTTGTTAAGAATGAACAGCCACCAGCACCGATGTCAGATCTGGCCCATCGCTGATTCCCGATCTTCCGATTCCGATTTTGGCCCATTCCTTTTCTGTGTGTGTGTCTTCAATGTGGCTAAATACAGCAAGACAATCACTGAGTTGACAACAAGTTGATTATTGATGTGCAGACATGACTGTCAGTCAGACCTGTCTCACAGCAGAGCAGAAGAGGACAGTGGTTGATTTTTGGACCTTTACTGAGGTAGATAAGATTGTCTTCACATGAAGAAATTAAGAAAATCTGGACCCATTTATCAGTACACTCATAGTTTTAGACATGCTGAACCCCCCCTCTCCCCCGAAAGTCTTGATTTGGACCATATTAATGTCAGCAGGCTGTGTGTTTGTGCTCTGCAGTGCGTCGGTGGAAGGAGGTCTCCTGTGTGAAAATTCCCGACCTGCAGGCGGTTCTGCTGGAGGCCCAGGAGAAGGATGGGGGTCCGGTCCACACCGTCCTGCCGCTGCCAGTTCACCGATCTCTGAGCCACAGGAGGTCCGATCCGCAGCAGAACCGCTCCGCTCCACCTCTCCTCGCCTCCCTCCTGTTAACTCAGCTTCTCCCTCTCTGCTGAGCAGCATCCGCCAGGCGCTGGACCGGGGCTTCCCTCTGCTGCTGTGTGCCGTGGCGTCCGACTCCACCCTGGTCTACCAGAAGATGACCGACGGGTTGGTGACTCCTGACCCCCCTGTTGGGCCCTTTGAGGACGTGGGGCGGCGGCAGCACCGGAAGAGGCGGCAGCAGCGTTAACCCCACTCTGTGGCAGTGAGCGTCTCTCCTGCCTGTGCAGCTCTACAGTTTGAAACTTCAGAGCGGTGCGGTCTTCGCATCATCGCGCTGTCAGCATGGATACGACGGCTGTGGAACGTTCAATAGTGACTTTTCATTTTGTGAGACGTAATTATCCCACGTTGTCGTCTGCTTCCTCTTCCTTGGAGGTTTCAACTCCTCAAACTTTCCTTCTTCATGTCTCCAGCGCCCAGACGAAGGCTCAGGACAAGTGGGGAAATCCGTTTCAAGCTCTATTTTAAATCTTAGTTTTTGTACTGAAATATTGCATATTTTACCAAAGGTAGAAGAAATATTATAAAAAGATGTCTTCCTGAGGTGACTGAACTTTGGAATAAAATTCCCTGGAAACATAGCAAAGTTTTATTTTTGTTTTTTTGCAATATGAATTTGTTCATTCCTGCAGAGAGCATGAGGGGAGATGGCGTGTTCACCATGCTGATTGACAGCACTAGGACCCGCCTCCTGGCTCTGATTGGTTTTCTTTTTTTAGATTTACTGTCTCAACATGCTGTCATGACATGGTTACTGCTTCAGCAAATATATAAAAAATGTATATTTATATTTTTTAAATAAAACTTACTGCAGAGCCATATACTGTTTTAGATGGGCACATTTTCAGCCAAGAGCCACCAAGAAATAACCCAGCAATGTCACCATTAATTAATATTAATAGCCTATTAACATCCAATAGTATATTAACATTAATAATTAGCTGAACATTTGACCTTGTGTGTCTGCTGTCCCTCTGCTCATCTCTAGAACAGAACCAGTCAAATTCCTATAAACACTTTTAATTTTACTAAAAAAAATCGAAACAAACAAACGTAACAATGAGACAGATTTAACACTGCTGACTGACGTACAGGAGCGAACGCTGGCGTGCTGCGGCGGCGTCCGCCTCGCTGTCACACAGAACAGAAACTGAAGCAGGAAAAGTGACTAACTCTGGTGCGCCAGTGCATGTGTTGTGTACGTTTCGTGGTGCGAAAGTGTCTCGGTGAGAGGAAGGACCGGGACGGCTACACTTCAACACTTTAACCCTGAGCCTTGTTTGACGTAGATACCTCTGGACAGACGGGGGCGCTGTGGAGAGAACAGGGTCATACTGCGTCTCTGCGGGGGGGAGGAGACTTGTCACAGGAGAAAATGGCGCAATTTTTTAGCACAGGTCCACATGAGTGGATGAACACTGATGGGAGTCTGATACGTTTCAGTTCATGTTTCGGACTCTGATGGCTTCGTTCCGGATGGAGGTCGTCTCTTCCAGATCTCGCCTGGAATCGTGTGCGCAGCTGACCGAGCTCAGGCTGCGGGTGGGGGAGGGAGAAAACGTCCCGGCTCCAAACCGATCCCTCTCCGCCGTGCTCACACAGAGTTTATTAAAACAAGATGAAGCCCAGTGAGCCCCAGAGTCCGGCCCGTCTTCCGTCCGGTCGGATCCAGGACGGTGAGGCTATGTCGCGTCCTCTTCCTCTGAGCAGTAGTCCCGACCCTGGACACAACACACACAATCAGCACTCGCAATCAGAGTGGAAAAAATATTATTGTTCTGTGTAATTTTAGCTGTTTTCACAAAATGACCAGATAAAAGATGCAGAACAATGGCAGTTTAAATTTTAAACTATTTTCAAAAAGACAGTGCTCTGCAACATTAAAACTGCAATTATATCAATCATAACTCTCCTTCTCTTTAATGTTTCTGTCAGTTTCTGGTGGTGCAGCTCTGTGCTGCCTTCAGGAGAATGGGACATCAGAGTGTCATTAATACAATTTCACCTACACAGGATTTGCTGTGCAAACCAGAGCTTTCAGTGGAAAACAAAAATTCCAGATCCTTTCAATGCCACACAAAGAAACATGGACTGTATCTTTATATTGACCTGTCTATTGATTTACAGATGAATAGTTTTACTGGACAGAACAATCAAATGCTAATGAGTCAAATTGAAAGTGTCATGGAGTCACTGAAATGAAAAACAACACTGAAGAAATAAGTATATCAAATCTAAATAAAAACCTAAATAAGTGATAAGGTCCTTACTGTTATGGTCTGCATGATATTTTCCTAAGATATGGTCCTAACAAACCAGTGGCACTTCAGCAGTATTGCACCTTTCTTCTTTCCATATAGTCCTGTGTGAATGCTAAGGCTAAGTATGGCCACCGATGATGGGACGGCAGACAAACGGTTTTTCCTGCAACGCTAAGTTGTCTCTCTGCCATTAGCACACTTAGCAGCAAGTACATGAGAATGATTGACAGCACTTGGACCTTCCTCCTGGCTCTGATTGGTTGTGTTTGGTTAGAGTGCTGCATTTCTGAAGGTATTATCTCAGGAAGGAGGTGCAGGAGATTGACAGATTATCTGTCTAAAGCTACACTGTCATTACATGGTAATAGGTTTAAGATATATCTATATATATTTATATATCTACTATAGCTGATATATATATAGACTATCAGCTCCAAAATAATAATTAAAAAAAGCTAAATAATAAGCTGAAGGATGTGGCTAAGTGCTGGATACAGAAGGAGAAATGGAATTGGACTTTATCACATTATCAATTCCTCTACTCTTCTCCAGCCTTCTGTTCTGCATGCTGCCACAGAGTCTGGGATATCAGCGGTCACTCATCCCCCCCGTGTTGTGTTAGATGTGACAGACTCGCCTGTAACCGTATTACTCATATGCTGGATGTGACAGATTGAGTCTGTTATGCATCATTGTGTCATCTGTCGTGTCCTTGCTAAACACAGATCCGCAGCAGCTGCAGCGTTAATCTCCTGCCCCGCCATTGGGCGGAACAGCAACGCCGCAGCCACCCGTTCACCTCCCTTACCTTCTCGATCTTCTCGTCCAGCATCCGGAAGAACTCCTGCTGGCTCTCCGAGGAGTGGATGCTCCTTAAAGGGGTCGGGAGGGGAACAGACACCCAGTTAGACCTGACAGAAAACCGACCAAACGGCAGAATCGCTCAGACTCACAGAATCTTCCCGTTGGATCCCGATTCGTTGGCGTGTTGTCCGACTCCGAGCAGAGCGCTCTTCTCCTGCGGGACAAAGCACAGCACTCATCATCACTACTGAGCCCGGTGGCCGTCATTCATCCAGCAGCCCGTCGTGTTTCTGAATTAAAGATGTTTAAAGTTGACCGAAAATTTGAAAATATCACTTGATAAACATGTGTTTTCTGAAGTTTGGAAGGTTATCTGAACACCAATTATAAATTCTCACGAAATGCAAACACCTTAAAAAGGCTTTAAAAAATAAAAAGCAATGCTTAGCTTGTTGGGGGCACAAGTAAAGCCTGGTGGCCCGCCAGGCTTATCATACACTGAGAGAAACCCTGACAGCCTCTGTAGTGATTATATGTTTAATTAGAATCAAAAGAAAACACAAAGGACAAATAAAAATTGTGCATTTATGCCTCTTTAGCTGCAAGTTAGAAATTCTAATCTGTGCTGTTTTTCTGCAGGCCGAATTTAAAAAATTACCATTTAAAAGTTTTTTATAAATTTTGAGAGTAAAGTCATAATTCTACAAGAATAAAATAGAATATTACTAGAATAAAGTAATGAAAGTAGTTCAGACATTTCAGAAGATCTGTGTCTGTCTAAGCATATTTCCTTAGCATATAACTTTGCTGATTCTCTTATGACGCCACGTTCAATAAAGTCAAACTCAAAAACACTTCAAACATTTTCTCCATGGCATTGAACCGAAACCCGGAGCGTGGTCACCCACTGAGCCGTCATGGCCGCCGTCTCCCGCCTCCTCTCCACTGATGAGCTTGTCCTTCTCCACGCCTCTCATCTTGTGATCATCTGTGGAGAAGCAGACACAGAGAGAAGCCCCGCTCCTTCATTATTATTATTATTATTATTATTATTATTATTATTAACACAGAAGGAGCGGTGGCAGGTCAATTCGGGGCAATGCCCTGAGGCCAACAGTTCTCACAGTTCAGTTCTCCTCAAAGTAATTACATACTGGAGTTCTGGCATCCGGCTCTAAGGCCCGACCCAACAATGGCTGACAAGCAGCAGAACACGAGCTGCTGGTCCAGTTCCCCTCTCTCCGGTCCCATGCTCTGAGAGATCAGGAAGTAAAAGCGTAGAAAAAAAAATACTAAATTCTGATTCTATGGAGAATCAGAATTTCTTATTATGGGAATTCTGAATCGATTCAAAATGCTCAAAAATTTATTTTCATTAATTTTTTGGGGTTTTTTTGTAAAATGACATTTTGAAAAGTTATTTATTTCAGAAAAAGCCAGATAGTTAAATCCAACCTAATGCTGGTAATTTAAGTTACGCAATTCGATGCACTAAACTGTTCTTGTTTAAATGCAAACTGATGGAATTTGATATAAATAGCAAATTATTTTAAATAAATGCTCTATATGTCGTTTTCTCTTGCCAGTCGCATCGTTTAAACAGCATCTCTAATGTGAACAGGAAAAAAAAACGGCTTCTGAATCAATCCGTGAGCCTAAAAACGTCTAGACACTGAAAGATTTCCATCTGTATTTATTCGGAATAACAGCTTTTCTTTTCTTTTTTTGTTTTTTAATATTCCGGCGGTGGCGGTGGCGGTGTCAGCTCGGTATCAGCTGACACTGATGCCACAGAGTGGCATCAGTGTCACACTCTGTGGAGTGACTCGTTCTGACTCCTGCAGAACAAGTCACTCCTGCTCGTTCTGCAGGAGTGACTCGGTCGACTCGGACTGTGATGTGATTATGAGGGCCAGATGGGCCGGTCGGTGTCTGCAGATCTCCAGGGACTTTCACGTCAGCAGCCGCAGCGGAAAGAAAGAAACAATAAACTCAGAGATGAGCTGCTGTCCAGAGGTCACAGGGGCAGCAGAGAGTCAACAAGGTGAAGCTGGGAGGCGGTCAGAGTGCAGCCGCAGCAGAAAGGCGAGCCGCTCGGATCGGCCTCTGGTGGAACGACCCGGAGAGAATTATGGGACATAAACCTGATCCTTATGGATAGATAGATGTTAATAAAGAGTGCATTGATTGCAGTTTTCTGGCCGATCATTGATCTTTAAAAGCCTGAGCTGCCGATTCCAAATACTGAGTTTCCCCCTTTGTCTGAAAAGTTGCTAAAATCTCTGATGTTCATTCACATCAATGAATGATGTGCACATTACAAATTTCCCTGCCAAAGGAACCGATGTTTCAATGTTCCTGTGCTTGGCCAGCAAACTCCCCGTGACCTTTGACCCCATTGATAATCAATCGGGCTTCCTGAAGGCGGCTCCTCCAGGCCACGACAAACTGATGAAGTAATTCACGCAAAAGGAGCCCAGAGCAGCTGCTGAGAGCAGATCACATGCACACGCTTTCAGAAGGTTCACATTTCTGGATTTAAAAAAATTGATTTTGTGCTGATGTAATTACTCTAACTTTCTGAGGTACACACTTGTAGTTTGGACTGTCAATAAATCAATTAATCACATAATAAATTAGAACAAAGCCAATCATTTCCATTTGTAGGACTTATCGTTTTTCTCTTCCTGCCAAAAATCGAATGATAAAAGTCTTCAGTTTGCTGCTTTTGTTGTTTTGTTGATTTATCTTGGATGTTTAAAAGTCTCCCAGGTCCACAGTTAAATGTGTCATTATCATTATATTGCACAAAAATGGTTTCAGAAACATCAATATTTTTGTTCATGTGTTGTGGTGACAGGTCGACCCAGGCTTTTGGTTTTCATTCTTAATCTCAAGCTATCTTTCTACTGTTTTTGGTTATTTTATACGTTTTCGGGTTGATATTTAAACAAGAGCGTCAAAAGCAGAGGAGCTGGATCAGCAGAACCTGCTAACATCTGATGATGTCATTCTGTTGTTATAGAATATCATCTCTGCTTGACCTTGAGCTGTTCGCATGTCATGACAGCAACAAGACCAACAGTCTTCAGTCAGAGGATTCTTCGTATTGGTTGCAGGACTGATTGCTACTGGAGTCCTGCAACCAGTAGCAATCTGGTAGCAACGAGTGATATCTTCAACGACAACATGAATTATGACGAGATTTAATTTCCCTTTGGGATAAATAAAGTGCTTTTGAACTGAACTGAATCAGAAAGTCTCACTTCTTTTCTGCCCTACTTCCAGCTCCAACGACGCCGCGCTCCGGGGAGGAGACGCCTGAATAACAGCTGAATTTGGCAGAGCTTCCCTCTTTTTAGGCCTGCATGACAACAACGGCCCTCCTGTTGCGGGCCGCTCTTCTTCCCTTGGCAGGGTGTTGTGGAGGGGGCGGGGCTATTCGTTCACCCCTGAAGGTACTCTTGCGTCCAACTGTCCAAGCAGATTCTGTCCCTTTGGAAAGAATGTCCAGTTCCCTCCATCCCCGTCCAACTGTCCCCCCTGTTTAAAGCTACAGTTAGGAGGCAGAATAAGTCCCTGAGTGTCAGACTGACCAGAGACGAGGTCCCCGTTGCTGTGGGATTTGCTCTGGCCCTCCTCATCGCTGGGAACGGAAGACACCTGCTTGGCAGAGGTGCAGCCCATCTCCTCCTGAACGGCTCTCGTCCTCAGCCCAAAGCATTACAGGCACACCTGCAGACGGTAACAGGCAGGTAAACTCCCATCAGTGACAGCATGAGGGTTAATGACAGGGAGACGTTAAACAGGACAGGAACCAGGGAACTGAGGTTCTCTGGCCGTTCATTGAGAAACACATTTCTGCCGAAAAAAAAAAAAAAAAATCAGAGATTTTGAAATTAATCTCAGAAATGTTCTAGAAAAATAGTGAAATTTCAAAGTTTCAAAGGACAAAAAAATTGTTTAAGGAAAAACTGACAAAATTTGACATACATCTCAGAAATTTTGGAGAACAAATTTCCAAGACTTGAAAGTGTCTCAGTTTGAAAAGTCGAAAATTTGCTAGCACAAAGCTTGGGGATTTTGAGATCGATCTCAGAAATGTCCTGGAAAATCTTGGACATTTCTGAGTTTGAAAAGTTAAAAATTTGCAAGAAAAATATGACCAATTTTATGATTAACGTAATAATGTATTTTTTAGAAAAAAACAACATATTTGAGTCTCAAAAGTGAATAATTTCCACTCTTCAAATATATAAATTTCCACAATTTTTCAAGAAACTACTTTTTGAGTTTCTTGAAACTCAAAAAGTTGACAGAGATGCTCCATGCATCTCTGAAACTTTTCTAGAAATGTTCAGAGATTTTTTTTTTGTCTATTGACAATGGCCCTGATACCACCGCCATAGTTCAGAGAGTAAAACAGGCAACAATATTAGGCAGGAATCCAGTCTGACATGATCCATCAGTGAATGTGTGGCTCAGCAGCCCCAAAACAACAATCGATACTCAGATGATGGACAGTTTAATAATTAAAGGTGTTGCTCTTAAATTTGTCTGCCATCAACAATAAAACACCAAAGAATATTAAGAACTAACTGCGTGAAACTAACCTCAGTTTTTATAATCAATTAGTCATGAAGTGCCCCACCCTTGAAGTAATAATAAAAACACACAATCTCCCCACTCTACTCCTGAATGGACAATAAAACTAGCTGTGATTCACCATCACACACCAGCTGGGAATGCACCAGCAACAATCAGGCCTTTCAGGCTGGGTGGGGGTCAGGGTGGGGGTCTCATTGGCTCATTTCTATCAGTGAATGGTGTTTTTTTTTTTTTTTGTTTGTTTGTTTTGTGAAGCACAGGGGATTACACGCGCGATCCCATCTCCCACGTCCTCATGCTGCAGAGCAGAGCTCAACATGCAGGCTGGGATCCATCCGATCCATGGATCCGGAGTGATCCATCCTGATGCGGGCTGGTTGAAGGAGAATCCAGTTGGCGACTCAGCTGCTTCCGGGGCCCCGTTCCGATCACAACTACTAGCATAAATGCTCCGTTTGCAACTGCAAACATGTTTTCAAATAATAAAGAAAAGGAAAAAGAGCCCAGCTGACTTCAAGTACAACAGTCCAACCAGCAGTGGGGCAGATTTCTCAGCATTTCTAGAGGAAGGCGGGTTTGTGGGGGTGAATACAGGATGCTGGATTGGTTTAATAAATAACGTTAGTTGGGGAAAGAGGCGCCATTCCGGCGGCTGCGGACAGAAACCGAGACGTTATTCTGAAGAGCGGAACAGAGAGAGGGGCGAAATGAAAAGGGCAGCTTTACCTTTCTGGTGAATCCATGGCTCAGCGGCTCCTTCCTGTGCTGTCAGTCCGCTCGGAGCTGCCGCTCAGACAGCATCCGCAGCTCCGCTCGACTCGGCGCCGTCTGCTCCCCTTGCCGCCGCCGCGCGCTCTGTCACAGTGACGAAACAGCGCGAGGGAGTGTGTCAAACACAAGCCAATTTTTTATTTATTTATTTATTTATTTTATTACAGCTGTATATTCCCAAAAACATAGCTTTCGAGAAACGTAAACCACCGTAGCCTACCTGTATTGCGTCGTCACCGTGTGTTGTCAGTCGGACCTAATTCGAAGGTGCACCGAACCACTTCCGCCCTGCGCGTTCCAAGTGCTGCGTCGCAGTAAACCGCGGAGAGAAGTTTGGTTCGGTGTTTTGGCTGGTCGAGCAGCCGCTGAGCGCCTACGTCTGTCGCCATGATCTTCCTGACGGTAATCGCTCGGCTGGCGGACGGTCTGCCGCTGGCTGCGTCCATCCAGGAAGATGAACAGGTTTGAATGAGGGCTAAATTGGGCTCCAATAGCTGCACACAGAGCTCCATTCAAAAGTTAGTTAAATTAATGCATGAAGGGAAGAAAAATAAAACTAGAAATAACTCATGGCTGTAGAGTATTCTTTGTTTTGCTGAAAGGTTTAACATCTAAAGACAGAGCACTGCCACCTCATGGTTTCAGCCTTTTAAGCTCACACCACGCCTGCTTTAAATGTTTTAGATGCTCATGGTTTATCGGCATAAACTGTATCGGCTGACGTTAGTCTTTTTTTTTCTCACCACACAAGTATTGATCTGATATTGATAACCGATATTATTGCAATCTTGTGTGTATATGTGATATTTGACTATTTTTGAAAAGGGCACAATATTTCATGTTTGTTTTTAGCTATGCCCTTACCTTTATGGTACAGTATATTATTTTCAATGTAGTTTTCCATATATATTTTAATACTTTTATCTTTGTGTGAGCCTACATGAGTTGACTCCTGTCACTTGGCCGCTGTTGAACCAGAATTTCCCCACTGTGGCAGTAAAATGTATTTCTATTCAATCTGTAAACAATGAAAAAGAGTTAGATAACTAGTGTGACAGAACTCATAGAGAACTTGGCCACATCGAGATGTTTTCAACAACCTGCGCCATTAGAGGCTGTTTTCACTGACTGTCTGCTTCTACAGCAAACAAACATGGATGTGCTTTGACTGTTTTGTTAGTCAGGAAGAGACCTCCAGCATTACCAGAGCCAGGCCAAACAGCTGCTCCGGAAACTTGATGCTCAGAGCCCGGAGCGCTGCATGCTGGAGGCTGGAAACATGAACTTCTGGTCAGTTAAGATTTGTAGATTCAACCTTGGATCAAAGGCTTTTTCGATTATTTATGGGTTTGACTTTTTTTTTTCCCCCCCTCACAGTTACTTCACGTCCCAGGGTGTTTGCTGCCTGTGTCTCTGTGATGCCTCTTTCCCTAAAAAGATGGCTTTTGGGTACCTAGAGGACCTCCACAATGAATTCTTTGAGCAGTACGGAAAGAGAGTCCCTGCAGTGACAAGGCCATACTCTTTCATAGAGTTTGGTAAGGTTCTCTTTGGGTTTTCCTGTTAGAACGGATCCAGTGCTAAATCTCAGCTGGTGCGTCAGCAAGTTCTTCACAGGTTCTATTAAAAAAAAAAAAAGAGTTTGGTTTGTTTACTAACGAGGAGCTTTGTCGTCTCTGCCAGTAGATGTTTGATTTCATTTTGTATCTGTGGACTTTTCAAAAATGGAGCCAACATGAGTTTTAGATGTTGCGACTCACAACATTTTGATTGGTTGCTGGTTTCCAGGAGCTCCAGCTCTGGACTAAAGCTGTTCTTTCTTCAGAGCAAAGATAGCAGCGATTTATCTGTGCCAGGTTGAGTGCTATGAAAGTTTGGGCTGATATCAATTTGCTGGTATCAAATATAACATAGATTTTGCTACCATTTCGACACAGTGAAAAAACGACCACACCACTGACTGACACAGCTTCTCTGCTTCGGTTAAATCCCATGCTGCATCGCCATCACTTTAATTAAATTTTTTAATGTGGAAAAAATACAATTTCGAATTGCAGCGTTTCCATTAAATCCATTAAATCAGAAACCCATTTAAAATCACAAGTGAACAAGTTTGTTCACACAATGAGTTATTAAAAATATCACGCCACGCCATCATCCTCCAACTTCCTGTCGTGGTCTTCATGGCTTTCGTCGGCGGTAACATCTGGTTGTTGATTGTGCGACTTGTGTGATACAAAAAAAGCTTTTTCCATTGCAGTTTTGCGAGATAATCCAATTTTGATATATGACCAAAACACCCACCTCACCCTAGCGCCAAAACGTAACTTTTTTTTTCGGAGTTGGAGTGTTTCTATTGCGGGAATTTACTGTCAAAATATGAAAATGTGCAGTTATTCGGTTAATGGAAACCCAGTTAATGTCACATGATCAAATAAAAACCAACCCCCTCCTGAAATACAAATGAAAACAAGATAGAAATAAACACTTGTTAATATCGGCCCAGTTTTATTTATCGAATTGTCACAGATGTTAATACCGATACATCGTGTCCTCAATATTAGAGATGCTAGAAACACAAAGAGCATCTGCTAAATTTAGCAGTTGATGAAGTCTACTTTAGTCTTCTTTAGGTACAAAAAATCATAACAAAATTTTGAAAATGTGATGCAAACAACAGATTTGCTAAACATCCGAAGGAACGGAATATTCATAATATGCGATTAAAATTGAATATTTTTCAGAGTGTTTTTTGAAATTGAAGAATTAAATGCCTTTTAGATCCACTTCAGGACATATATGTAAGGAGCAGGTGAAAAAGTATGTTTTTTATATTGTAGATACGTACATCCAGAAAACAAAGAAGTCATACGTTGACAGCAGAGCTCGGAGGAACCTGAGCAGCGTCAGCACGGAGCTGCAGGATGTCCAGAGAATTATGGTGGCAAATATTGAGGAGGTCCTGCAGAGAGGAGAGGCTCTTTCTGGTAACCAGTTTGGAGTAAAACCCCAACCCATTGCCCAGCTGTCCGACTCCAGCTAACCCCGAATCTGCTTTCTTCATCAGCTTTGGACACCAAGGCCAGCAACCTGCGGAGCCAGGCCGAGAAGTACCGCATCGACGCCAGGTTCCTCAACACCCGCTCCACCTACGCTAAAGTGGCTGCCGTGGTTTTGGTCTTCATCACGCTCATCATCTATGTGCGCTTTTGGTGGCTTTGATCATTGAACAAAGACTCTGAACAAAGACCCCTCTCTGTGGTGGAGGAAGACCTTTCTTCTCTTCTGTAGCTTTAGGTTTTGTGTTCAGTGAAAGCAGAGCTGTCGGTGTTTAGTTGGACTTTTCTTTTGTATGGAGACAAATGTTCTACAGTGGACCGTTGTGGTTGTTTACAGAGGCAGATGTTTGCACAATGGAGGTGGAGCTTCTCTGAGTTACACAACAGAAGAAGAAGAAGCTTCCAGATAATATGTTGACACTGTGAGGAAAACACTCTGGTTAATTTATATTGTTTTGAAAAAATAAAAGATTTAACAAACTATCATGTATGGTGGCATCAGGAGCAGTCTCTCTGGGTTTAACTGTATATCATAAAAAGCATGTATATTCTAAAGCAGTAAAAAATAAATACAAATACAACTCAAGTCATAAAGTACAAAATGCTCAAAATACAAAACCAGGTTCACGACTCGTGAGGTTTGGGTTTTAATTCAATTTCAGTCAAACATCAAAATTAATCCAAATACTTTAAATATTTCACAGTAAAGTGAATCCATAATGTATTTAGGTTTCACCTTTTCTTTTAACCTGAATAACTAAAATAATCTGATAAATTCCTAGTTTACTTAGAGATACTAATGAAATACTTAATGAAGGTAGTTTATATAGCCTCCTAACTGTGTGATCAGAAATTGTAGTTTATTTTTTTACAAGTGTTTTTTGTCCATCAATAAGTTAAGGGACAAAATTTAGTTAGATTTAAACAACCTGAAAACTACATTAAATCAACCTGAACAGTGGCTTTCATTTGGAAACCAGTTATTGTTACTGACTTCAATACCTAAACATAATCTTTTTATTATTGTACTTTATTCTGAAAATCAGACCTGGTTCAGCTCCTGGTTGGTCACATTCACAAGGTTCTGAAATAAACTTTCTGACTTTTCCTGTCAGAAAGTTTATTACTATTGAATCAGCATCTTTCAGAAAATACATTTACTGATCCCAATAAACACTTTATTGTGTATTGTGAAATATTATGAACAAGCAATAAAAATAACCAAAATAAAGTACCTGGATTTTTACCATGAGGTGAGAAACAGGTTAGAATAATGTGACTCGAAGCAAAGAAAATGAACTAATAGGATCAGATTTGGGGGTTTTTATATTCCCCAAAAAAGTTCTGGAATTAAATTATTATCTTGAGGGATTTTAAACAGGGATTCACCGATTGAGGATTTCTGGCTGAGAGATCTTGTTACCCCTTAACGATCACAAGGAAAGACACTTTCATGTGAGTCACTGGGGCCATAAGGACAAGCTGATCTTCTGATTCAGGTTTTGACTGATATAAAAAATTTTTTAATTATGCAGGTGTTCTGTCAGTATCAGCCGATCGCCCAGGGCCCATTTACTGGTGCACTCCTAATGTTAAAGCCAGGACATTTAAAGACTGCTTCACGCTGAATGAGGCAGCATTCATCCTTCATACCCAGAAGGACTCTATAGTAAACATGGCCAACGTAAGTCTACAGAAGTCTGTAAGTCTGGGCTGTTGGAGTTTAAAGCATTCCTCCTCTTCTGTTGTCTTTGCAGAACAGTTCATTCCCACTCATGCTATCAGATCAAAGTCGTCCCTCTGCAACAGAAACATTAATGTAAGTCACGATCCTACCTTAAGACAACATGACAGAGATTTTTCTAACTTGATAACAGAGGCTCTCAAAGCTGCGTTTCCATGACAAATGTGCGGAAATGTTTGTTGATAATCTGCTAATATCAAGAAAACAATTTCACAATTGTTATGTTTCTATTAAACCAGAAATTCAATTAAAAATTACATGTGACAAAGTTTGTCATTAAGAAATCAGGCCTCGTCATCATCCTACAACTACTTCCTGTCGTCTTCTTTGTCATTTCCACCAGTAGTAACATCTGGTTGTTGATCATGTGACTTGTGCGATGTTGAAAAAAAAAAAAAAAAAAAAGTGTCTCCATCACAATTTTGCAAAAATACATCTATTCAATATGGCCAAAAAAAACCACCTCATCTCAGTGTAGAGATATTTTTATAGAAAAAAATGTTTTTTCGGAATTTCCGTGTTTCCATTAAGCGAATGTTGTGGTCAGTGGAAACACAGCTTTAGAACACAGCTCATCCATTCATTCATGGATGAATGAAAGTCTCACCTCGTCATTATAATTTAAGACGTGCTGCTTGATCTTCGACGAGTCCACCCAGGTGACAAAATCTTCCATATTTCTAAAACAAAGACACAATTTCACACAGTGCTGCTGATTTTTATACATAAAAACATCTTGTGGGGGATGTCAGACGTTATAAACCAAGCTTTAGACCAAGCTTTAGACCGACCTTGTGACGAGAAAAGCTGGATCTGTGACGATATCCGGTCCGACACGAACATCTGTCAGCGTGTTCAGGAAAACCACCAATCGATCTATATTGTTGGATGGAAACAAACCTCTGGGATAACAAACACCAGACAGACACCCGGACTGAAGGATACGTCCTTGTTGGATGAACGTAATGGCCGTCTTCAGGTTCTGAGCCATGCGGAGGTTCAGCATGATGCTGGGCAGCCGCCTCCTGCAGGTGAACGAACAGGCAGGATAAACAGAGCCGCAACGCTGCGTCGGTTTGTGTTAGTGGAGATTTTACCTGCAGAAGGACGAGGCCGTGACCTTCTCTGTCAGCGACAGGTTCTGTCTGGTGGGGATCAGGCCGATGCTGTACCTGATCAACCAGAGGAGCAGACAGTGTCGCATCAGGTTAACACGATTAGCGACAAAATTTTGCACACATTTGTAATGGAAACGCAGTCAATACTCGCCTCACTGCTGCCAACTTAGCAACTTTGTTGTTATATTTAGCAACTTTTAGATAAAAATAAAAAATAAAAAGTAGGTATCAGACAAAATGCCTAATCAGCAGGTTAGGTGTTTGCAAAGATCAGGAATCGGGCAGAAAACTGCAATGTCTGCATCCGTAGATCAAAGTGATGTCTACAGTCATCGTACCACGTGTCTTAAAATAAGGAGGGACTTCCCTTGATGTCAAAAAGAAATACAAAAGCATTAAGACATTATTTAACTGTAATGAGGAACTATTAAATCTGAATCCAGATATTTACATACACTGCATAAAAACAAAACACGGTTTTCTCCCCACCACAACTGACTTGGACTAAGGTTTTTTTCTGTTTTTCACAATTCCCAGACACCTGAAACCTAAAATCCAGAGATAAATTCAGTTAAGGTCCAGGCGTCAGGAAGTTAACAGATTTTCTGTCCCAGAAACAATCCTGTTGAGAAATGTGTTAAACCCCAAAATAAAAGCAACTTTGTTGAGATTCTGTAAGAAAGTTTCATCGCCAACAACGAAACAAGACCTGAGCTGTAATGCCGTTCAGGAACGAAGAAGCCAATACTGATTAAGGCTATCCAAAGCACTCAGGTAAGTGATCAGAATATGGGTCAAAAAGTGTTTTCCAAATGACATAAATTATATATAGCAACCAGAGATCATTTTAGTAATGGTAACTGCCCTGAAACAGGAAAAGATTTTGTCTTCCTTCTTGTCAGGATGGTGAGGAAAAAAGATCTTCCTCTTTATATGTAAACATCTGATTTCAACTGTACATGTATAAATATATCTACATTAATGTGAATATAAACAAAAAAAATGCTTAGTTCTTTCTGTTTTTGCTACATTTACTAACAAATGTCCTTTATTTTGGATTCGTTTGTGATTCTTCAGTCTTTTACTGGTTCTGTTTGGGTTGTTTCGGTTCCGACCCAAAGGCCTCTGATTGACTCACAGCTTTTCCAGGAAGCAGTGTGTGCTCTGAGCTCTGAAGCCATCCTTCTCATCCAGGTCTCTGATCTTCTGCGCCAGCTCTCTGATGTTCCGACTCAGCTTGTTGTACCTGAAAGACAGAGAAGACACAACCTTCAATAAAACCAACCACTTCCCCCCTATATTCTGTTCTAACACACCGAATTCAGATGGAACACACATTAATTACACCTTAAAGTCTTATATCATGATGAGCTAAAGACTTAGCGAGTCTGATTTGATTCTGCCTTCTGGGAATCTGGACAACGTCCATTAGCTCCAGTTGAGTATGTAAACTAGTGTATCATCTGCTGAGACAGCAGATGATACACTCGCTCCTGTCTTTTGCTGCTGAAGTTGAAAAAGCAGATTCTGCTGCCGCTGACTAACTCGATGTAGGACTTATTTATAGTTTGTCTATTTAGTTGCGCTTTCATCCTAGATGATAACAGCTACTGCTGCCATTGATTGTGTCAACACTTGTTATCCTGAAAGTCTCCCAATAGCAACTTTGGGTTTCTCGTTTGCTTCCATTTTCGTGTACAACTCGTTTTTCAACATTTGAACCGTTTCAGCCTTTTCCGTTCTCCTTCCTGTCTGACCGATCTGACTCCAGTCAAACCCCCCAAACACCTCATCACAGGTTTGACTCACTTCGTGTAGTCCTCGCGCTTCTCGATGCGATACTTCCGCAACACCTTCACCTCGTGCAGGTTGTTGTCCACCTCCCAGCTGATGAAGTCGACCTTCTTCAGCAGCTTCTGCTCGTGATATTTTAATTTACGCACCATTTTATCCTCTCCGTCGCCCCACAAACGCCTCTTTCAAAGGAAAACCGGAAACACGTGCTCTTCTTCTTCGGAACCCTCGCAGAGATTTGAGGACCGAATCTGACGCCACAGCACCACCTAGCGACGATTAGACGTGACTAGTTTTGTCACGAGGCGCTCCGTCGGACCACATCCTCCAGAAATGTTTGTCTTTTGCTCCTTTATAAAAAAGGCAGCGTTTACCCAAACGTCAGAATTTCAATAAATACACGGATTATTATTTATGTGATGTATTTTAGAAATTATTGAAGCATTTATAATCAAAGTTGGACTAAATGCTTTCGTCTGTTTATCTAAATATATATATATATATATATATATATATATATATATATATATATATATATATATATATATATATATATATATATATTTATATATATATATATATATATTTGTGTATATGTGTGTGTGTGTGTGTGTGTGTGTGTGTGTGTGTGTGTATATGTGTATATATATAAATAAATAAATAGTTAAGTGAAAAAATTAATCAGCTTGTGAATTGATCATTATAGCTATATTCGTATATTTTTTAGCATTTATTAAATGATTAATTTATTAATTATTCATTTATTTGTCTTACTATAGTTGTTTGGCAGGACCACCCTTGACTCAAGTTATTTCATAAGTAGGAAGATAAATCAATAATGACCTGAATAAATTGTACAGTTTTGATTTTACATGATATACAAATGTTATCATTTAACTGTTTATTTAATAAATTGATGACAGATTTATTATTTTCATATTACCCTTTTAACATTAAATCGAAACAGTTCTCGATCGATTGATTTGACATTGAATGATTTAATTAGGCATTTACGAAATGACCACCATAAAAAAATCTAACTTTTTTGTTCATCTAACTAAAGCACTTTAAATTGCCTTGTTGTTGGTGAAAATGTGTTGCAATTTTAGTGCAACATTTTGCCAATGTTAAGCAGGAGTGGAAGGCAATCAAACCGTCTTTTTTGTTTGTTTGTTTGTTTTTGTAGTTGTTGTTTTTGTTTGTTTGCATGGGACTGATTTTAATCCAGCTGGTTTCGTGGCCCCCCTGTGGATGCAGACGTTTGGTCAATGGGGGTTTCAAATCTGCGCGACTGAAGGCTGAATTCACCTGATGCCCAAAGTCACTGAGTTGCAGAGGAGGAGCGAACTGCTCTGCCGATTTCTGCATGGAGCTTCTCCCTGACTGGGAGCCTCTAAAGTTGGAGAAGCGAATAAATCCTCCATCCACGGCCGCGGATGAGCAGCTGTCCCCCGGGGTAAGTTTGTGGTTGAAGGGCTTCTTTCACAGCACGGAGGGAGAAATGCCGCCAGAGGCATGTGTGTGTGTGTGTGTGTGTGTGTGTGTGTGTGTGTGTGTGTGTGTGTGTGTGTGTGTGTGTGTGTGTGTGTGTGTGTGTGTGTGTGTGTTATTACGTTACTGTCTCTGTTTGTTTCGAATCCATTCAAACTTGTGTCGCAACTCTGGCTCTTAAACGCACGTGCGTCGCGGCGGAAGGGAACTCCCTGTCTGGGCTCGCATGCGCAGTTCCGCATCCCCGGTGAGGAAACTTCAAGTCTGGCTGAGACTTTCACGACACACATCCACGTCACCATGGCACCAGCTGACCCAAAACAAGAGCTCTGATCCATTTGTCACACAGCAGAGGGAGGTTTGATATTTGGGGCCTTAGCCTTTTACCTTAAATAAGGTATTAGCTATTTCTCTTACTTATTAGTCATGTTTAGTATACTGAATGGAGTAAGTCAATTACAGACAACATGCTAGTGACAGTATCCACACTATTCTACACTAATTTTAACTGGAACGGAATGGTTCCAGTCCATGTTGGTCTACATGCTTGTGACTCTCCACGGGCTACTTTGTAATTTTTCTAGCTAAGCTTAGCATTGATACTAATTGTTAGTATCAGAACGGGCACACTTTGGCGGGCCCTGGTTCAATTTCTTCAGGTATTTTTGAGTTTCCTGATTCATCTTTACAGAGCGACCTGTTTGGCAGCCAAAGGCAAAGGCAGGGCTATGACAGCCCTGCGTGTTGTGTTTACTAAGACTGAATCTAACTTTACATATGCTTTCAAAATGTCTGAAATGAATATTCATTTCAAATCTAGATTTTTAAAAAACAACAACTGTAGGTCTAAATAAACAGAAGAAGATACTTGGCCTTTTAGACAGTCGTAGCTTATTACAGTGGGCCACCAACTATTTACGGTTAATTTTTTTATGGCACGTAACTCCAAATTATTTGCGGGGGAATCCTGCCAGTTGTGGATTTTCCTTTAGAGCAAATCTGAAATACTCAAAAGAAAAGGCAACGCTGTCAAGGTTTTATAGATGAGAATCAGCTTTTGCTACAATCCAGTGACATTTACATAAAGTTCATGATTACCAGCTGCAGTGTGCAACACTTCCGGCTGCCATTTGCAAAGCAGTGACATTTATTTGTTCTGACTGGCTGTATTCACTTTATAAGGAAGACCGTGAATATTCTATTGTACTAAGATGGTTTCCATTATCTGTATTAATCTCTTGATATGTGGTACAGGCGGTGAGGTCGAACGCAGCGGACCCAGGCTGCAATGAATGATGGTGGTTCAATAATGAAGAATAAACAAACAATCCAAAAGTCCAGGCAGCACAGCTGAGCGGAAACTAAGGCTCAACACTGGTAGCAACTGGTAACAAAAACCAAGACGCGACAGGAACGAGACAGAGCAGACGGACTGGTACAACAAGGACTCGACAAAGACACAGAAACACAGGTGGCATAAAATATACAGAACGAGACACACCTGGGAACCATCGAGAGGTAGTCAGGACAACATGGAGACACAAAAGACACAGAAACCCCAAATAAACACAGAAAAACTCAAATCAACAGAGAAAACCAAATCCTTACAATTACATGCATGTCAGGACATCTTTGGTGATTGAACTTTGAACTCACTAAAAAACGCACAGTAAGTGCCTTTAATGATTATTTTTGAATTTACTGATCATACTGTCAATTTGATATTTTTTTCAATCATCTTTAATTATAATTCATTAAGACAACGACAAGTCAAAATTTCTATTGTGAAAAGAAAGTTCTCATAATAGTCAATATATAATCCAACAAATTCCCATCCCCAGTTACACTCTATCACTTTTTTATCATTTGTTGGTTGTTTTTGATGCGTTTGCTTGTTGGAATCAGATTCTATGGGAAGTACAACTACCAATAGATTTGTTTCAAATCATCAAACAAATAAACTTATAGAAATTTTGAGTAAATAAAAAATTATAGTTTTCAAGTAATGGCTTAATTTATTGAAGGAAATAAAGCTTTCCAAACCAACCCAGCTCTGTGCAGGTGTAATAAATATTTAGAGACAATTTATGAGTTGTCTCTAATAATCAGACTTTTGAGTTCAACTTCAAAGGCCACATTTCCATGTCTGATTACTGTCAGACCTGTAGAGTCAAGAAATCACTGGAGTAAAACCTGTCTGACAACATGAGGTAGGCCAAAAGATCTGAAGGGCAACTCTTCATCTTCTGATTCTAAATAAATTTAAGAACAGAGGAGAAACCATGTAGTCAAGGTCAATCTTGAAAATTCTTAGACTTTGGAAGTCCATGAGACCAAAGTTAGTGTTAAGGATTCACAAGAAATTTTTACACAGCCACTCAAGTGTGTGGAATTCTGTTGTATGACTTTAAATAGGCCTTTTATGCTCCAAAACTCTCTGGTTGAATGAAATCAATTCTGTAAGGAAGAGGGGGCTAAGATTCCCTTCAGATACAGTAAACATGTTTTTATAAAAATGTACAATTTTCAGATGAGACCAAAATTTGACTTTTTTCTTAATGGAAACTGATAATGGGCGAACTAAGGTTGAATACCACCCTGAATACATCTATAGTATTGTGAAACACAGAGGTGGCTGCATTAGGCTTGGTGGATGCTTTTCTTCAGCAGGAAAAAGAAACTTGGAGGGCAGATGGAAGGAACTAAAAGTAACAATTATGAAAGAAAATCTGTTAGCAGCAACAAAAGACCTGAGACTGGGATCACAGCTACAACGGCATGGTTTATGTCAAAGCTAATTCATTAGTTAGAGAGGTCTAGTCCAAGTCCAGGCTTAAATTTAGTTGAGAATCTGTTTCAAGGTTTGGAAATACTTGGTCTCCATCCAGTCTAACTTAGCTTGTGTAAAAACCATGTATCATTTCCTTCCTCTTTATTGTTTAGCTCTACTTTGTGTTTCTAATATAATAAAAATAATCCACAGGTCTGTTTATTGTACTTTAGCAAGGTGCTAAGTATGTTTTTCTTACTACCTATTCACATTTCAAAACCCGTTTCAGAGGCCGTTTCACTCAGGTATTTTGTAGTATTTCCTGCTGATGGGTTGTCGTCATCCAACCTGCTCAGTCGGCTTTGGGCTCTGAGGGAAACGGTGGTGTCAGCTGAGGCTTATACTGAGTGTGTGAACTCAGACGCAGAATATGTCCACACAGGTTAGTATGGGACATTTTTGTCAGGTTTTCTAGAATGTTCTTGTTGCTGCTTGCAGCATTATCTTGTTTGGGATCTTTTGGAAGAACTGTCGGCCGCTTGTCACTGGCAGTTCAAGGTCGAACAACCTGTGGGCTGGATGGATGTTTCTATAGATGGACAGATAGAGTTTTCATGTGGCTGAAATTGAATAAAACTCATTGGTTTGGGTTACATTTAGAGCGTCGTACAATGTGCTACAAGTTTGCCTGTAATGCATTCAAGAGAAAGAAGGGGTCTTTCATCTTGTGGTGGTGCAGGAAACGGATAGGGTGATCTTGAAAGAGAGTCTGATCCAAGTTGTAAAGAAATACACAAGGCAGCATTCTGTGTTAAAGCCTAACCTTCCACCCTGGTTTAGTGTTCCAGTTTGTGATCCAGTTCTCCTTCCACGAACTCCAGTTCTATGAATTGAGACAGCAGCGAACGCCGAAGGTGTGTCTCAAACATTCTCTGAAAGACCGTAGACGGTGTGTTATGTTTGTGGAGGGATAGGCACACTCACACACACTCAGGCAGACATACAGTGGAAGACTGTGCCACGGTGCTCCTCTCTGCTTTGCACCGCTAACACATAAGAGCGTCAGTGTGCTGGTGTGTTGAACACGCCCCCCATCTCCTGTTTGCGGAGAACGACTTTGCTCCGTCTGACTTGTTTTAAATCCTCCTTTTAGCGTAGACCTGAAACAGCAAGCACATTACCCAGCAGTTTCAGGAAACAGATGAGTGGACTTTGTCTTTTAGACTCTTTAGAGGAAAGCAGGAAGTCAGTTCTGTTTGAGGAGTTTGTAGAAGTGAAAGTACACAGTCGCAGTGATGGTAGTTTGAGCGAGGTCGTAACCTCAGAGAGGAGACGTACAGCTGCTCCTCCCACCACCAGCAGAGCAAGCGTTGGACACTGCCTGTGGTTGTACGTGAGGTTCCTGCTCAGGTTCGGTGTGGACGTTCTGCCTCTGTCGACTTCCTCTGCCATGCTTCTCTGCATGGGAAGTTCTACACCTGGGGCCACAACAATGAGATGACGAGGGAAGGAGGAAGTTCAGCTAAAACGTTTGAGAAGTTTCAGGAAATATGACGCAGAAGAGTGAAGAATATTTGTCTTTAGACAGCCAGGATGTAGCAGACATGAAGCTGGTAATATATTTTTACTCTGTAACTTCTCCATTGTGACTCCAGTCTGAGACACACACATTAATGTATCTGTCTGTGTAGTTGTCCAAAGTTTGCCAACTTGCGTTGCTACCTGAGCTAGCATGAGCTACTGTTATTGAACTTGTGGGTCCTTGTGTGATGTAAAATAGATTTTTATTTTAGCTTTATTTGATGTTATAATATTACTCCTTTATCAAAAACATAAATGGAGTGTTGCTTAGATTTCTTTCATGCATGTTTGAGAAATCCTTTAATCTCCTGTGGCAACTGTTCAGTTGTGCAAAATACCTGGGTGGACCTAGCTCCGCCTTGGAGATGAAGCTTCTCATCAGATCCTTCAGACTAGCCAGCAGCAATTAGCAAACACCTGGTGGAACTGTGCATCTGCTGAGCTCATTATATCAGCTACTTTTCAGTAAAACTCTGGTAAAAAGGTTCTTTAAAGGGTTAACAGATGAGCCATGTTGTGATGGCTTCCAGAAAGAGCTGGAGTATTTAAAGAGACAGAGACCCAATTATAAGGCATTAAATTACACAGTCAAATCTCTTTTAAGTTATATTTGATATGTGTGTAGAATTTTCATAAGATCTGAGGGTAACAGTTGATTGCACTACACAATGGCACAATGTGTAATACGTAATACTGCCCTTTAAAGCAGGTTTTGCACACAAACAGATGTCATAATTCTTCAGATGGCAATATTAGCTTAGCCTAGATATTTGTTTCTGCTGAAATAATCTTACTTTGGTTTTTGAACAGGCTCTAATGTCACCCGAGAGATCAGACAAAGAGACCTCCACCATGGTTTCGTCCACACCCCAACCCTCACGGTTAAAGTATCTGTCCCTGGGGGTCCTGGTGCTGCAGACCACATCACTGGTTCTCACCATGCGCTATTCCCGGACCCTGAAGGAGGACGGGCCCCGCTACCTGGCCTCCTCTGCTGTAGTGGCTGCTGAGTTCCTTAAAATCATTACATGTAGCTTCCTCGTCTTCATGGAAAACAGTGAGTGGGTTCATGCGGTAATACACAAGAAAATTCCACCCAAAAATCTTTGAATTTTTTTTTTTTAAATCTTGGAAATTTCAGAGTTTCAAAAGTTGAAAATGTTCGACTTTTCAAATTCAGATATCAAGTTTGCAAAAATGTCATTGTTTTCAACATGGCAGAGATTAATCTCAAAATGTAGGGTTTTTTAGCAAATTTTTAAGTTTTGACTTTTTTTTTTTTTTTTACTAAAAATTCTTATGTTAATATTGAAATTCCAAAAGTTTTTTTTTTTTGGCCGACATTTACTCCTCCATTATTTTTTGCCCGTCTACAGTGACCTGAATATGCCATCATACTTATACTGTATGGGGTGGATCCAATAAGTCTCTCTTTGCTTCTGTCAGAATACAGTTTGAGTGCCATGAACCTGCTGCTGAAGGAGGAGATTGTGAAGAAGCCCATGGAGACCATGAAGCTGGCCGTGCCTGCAGGGATCTACACGCTGCAGAACAATCTACTCTATGTTGCCCTGTCCAACCTGGATGCAGCCACCTATCAGGTTACACATGGATGTGGTTGGTCAGGCTGACTGTGGGTTAGCATTTTTTCTCCGAAGTTGGGGAGCTCAGTGGCTCTCCGACAGATTATTTCCTGGAAAATTGCAAATACCTTCCAGTTTCAAAGTCCCTCATTATGATGCCTGCTGGGAGTGGTATTCAGTTTAGATTAGTCTGTAGTTGATCTGGTAAATGTTGCCGGCTCTAATTGCTTGTGGTTTAAAGCAACAACGGCCATCAGCAGCACTGTGTCACTGGATCATAGCTGTGCTGCAGCTCAGTGATAAGGTGGTTGAGTGAAGCGTTCTTCCTGGTTTTATTATGCTAGACGGCCTGTAAATATGTAAGAAAGAGGTCGATGTAATAAAACATAAATATAAGCAAATACTATAAGTTTAGTAGATCATTTTCATGCTAAAAGGCTGCACAAATTTAATAACATTTTTTTTTTTTTTTTACAACTTGTACTAAGTCTAACAAATGAAACTAACATCCATCCAAAAACAATAAGCACTTATCATTCTTTTCTTTATAAAAATAATTCTGTTAGGATTAAAACAAGTGCTCTGAAGAGAAAAAAAAAAACCCAAACAAAACGTACATTTATTTTGTTTATCTGTGATGGATGCAGGTCACCTACCAGCTGAAGATTCTCACCACGGCTCTGTTCTCCGTCTTCATGCTGGGGAAGAGGCTGGGTCTGTACCAGTGGCTCTCCTTACTGATCCTCATGTCCGGAGTCACGCTGGTGCAGGTGAGTCAGGTCCATTGAATTCTGCCGAGTTGGTTTCCAGGGCAAACGTTCATGATCGGCGTGCCCTCACTGCACGTTGTGAGCGAGACTAACTCACAATGTAAGTAAGAATTAAGTCCAGAACTTAATTCTTGCGCCCTCCACCTGAGGTAAAGGAAAACACAGTTTTACAATTGCGGTGTTTCCGTTGCGTAAGAAATGAACATTTGCTCAGGCAATAAGTCATCAAAAATCATGTTAGTGACAGATGTGAACATGAGATATGTTCACAATTCAGTGCTCAACATCTATCAGCCAATCAGGGGAGATGTCGGTATCTTATTCAGACGTTGGAGAGACAAGCCCTGCCTACTCGGGAGGGTTTTGAGGAAATTGTAGTCTATGATTTTACAGATAATGGAATCAACTCACTCGTACAATAACTCAACGTTTTATGAACTGTGCAATGAGCTTTGGTGGAACCAGCTGAGCTTTGTTCATCGAGGTCAACGGCAACAAACAAATAAAAAGTTTTTCCATTGCGTTTTTTGCAAAATACTCCAATTTTGATATGGGAGAAAAGCCAACTCATTCTTCTATGGCTAAAATGATTTATCGACAAAACTAGTTCTTTTGTGAGTGCATGCTTCTATTAATAAGATTTATTTTCCAATTTTATGGTCAATTGATCTGTAGACATTCTCTGTCAGAGTGAAAAGGAGATGATACCCAAGTTATGGGCAGCAATAGCTCCACCAATGTCAAAGTTCAAGAAACAGATGAAGTACTGAGTTCTCTGAACGTTCTGAGGGGAAAAAAAAGAGTAGAACACACAAACCTAACGGCACCAATTGCTTCACCTGTTCCTTAATGGACACAGCTACACACAGAAGCACTGTGCCAGGAGCACTTTCTATAGGATAGGAAAACACAACCATAAAGTGATGTCTGCTGATCCCAACAATGCTCACGCAACTGTCCTATTTTCTAGCAGTCTGATCACAACGTGTCCTGATCATCTGATCTTACCCGTGTTCGTCCTCCCCAGTGGCCCACCGACTCTACAGGAGAGCAGAAGGTTCTGACTGCGGGCTCCCAGGTGGTTGGAGTGGTGGCGGTGCTGATGGCCTGCATGTCCAGCGGTTTTGCTGGAGTTTACTTCGAGAAGATCCTAAAGGAGACCAAGCAGAGTGTATGGGTCCGCAACATACAGCTGGGTATGATTCTGAACCTCACATCATGGTTATGAATGGCCACAAAGGGACGATATTATGTAAAATACACCTTCTTTGAGCCTTACATCATATTATAATAGAATCCCACCATCAAAAACATAGCGGGAGTCCTCTCCTGTGACTCCCACACACGGTTCCTTCAGACTAACCAGTAGCAATTAGCAAACACCTGTTGGATGGAGCTCATTATAGGAGCTACTTCTCGGTGAAACACTGGTAAAAATGTTGTTAAGGGGTTAACAGAGGAGCCATATTGTTAAAGCCCAATTTCAAGGTGTAGGCTGAACTCAAGTTGCTCCTAATTCAGCTTCACCTCAAATTATCTTCACACACGTACACACAGTTTTTTTTTCTCTCTGAAGAGTTTTTGTGGCACTAGAGGTTCATATTTCTGACAGTTGGCAGACAGGAAAGAGGGCAAGGAGAGGGGGGAAGACATGCGGCAAAGGTCGCTGGGAGCAGGAGTCAAACCTGCGACGTCCGTGTTGAGGATTGAGGCCTCCAAACGTGGGGCGTGCTGTAGTGGCGCAGGGGGTTAACACGCCCCACCCCCTGCACCACCACAGCACACCCCACACACAGTTTTTTAATGTACATATCTATATCCATTCATCCATCCATCTATCCATCTACTAACACCCTTGTCCCTAGTGGGGTCGGGAGGGGTGCTGGCGTCTTTCTCCAGCTAATGCTCCAGGCGAGAGGTGGGATGCACCCTGGACAGGTCGCCAGTCTATCGCAGACATATCTGCATATCACATAAATTCCTTTATTCATTTTTATTTGTGTATTAAATTTCTAAACCTGGGACCAGAGTCCAAATTTTGTACCAAAAACAAGCTAATGGTGGCTTTGCAATGAATTACAAAGTGAAATGTCTTTTAAGTCATATTAGATATATGCATTAACCAAAGGTAACTTAGTTGTTTTATGGTGCTATAAAATAGTGCTATCTTGCTGAATAACTTAATACTTTAAAGACACCAAGTCACTGTTTCTAGATGATCCTGTAAAGGTTGTTGTTCTGCATCCCCCAGTTTCCCTCCAGTTGCTTTCATTAGTAGCATTTTTAGATTGCCTGCTTGCCGTCAGGTTTCCTGAAAAAGCCTTAGTCCTGCTGCTCCTCCTTCGCCCCCCAGCAGTCAGTACCAGTGCTAAGTGTGCCACAGAAACAGGTTTTTCGTGCCCAGCAGTCGTCGCTTTCACCTTTCTAATGTTCCTAATGTTCTCCTTTTCAGCCCATAATGGGTATAATTAAAACCTCACATGTGAGAAGAGCAGCATTTCATTCTTTCTTTGGTGAAACATTCTGAACCCAACGACAGTCAGTAACAAAGATAATGGCAAAATGTATTAAAGCAAAAGGTGGATGTTTGCTTGTATATTTTCTGCTGTTGAGAATTATCAAGCTATTTTGTTTTTCAGTCGTTGTCATCATTGTGGTTAGCATTAGCATCGTTAGCATAGCATTTCTTTGCGACGTCAGCTGTGTTGTCGGTCTTTGTGTCATGGTTTTTTGCTTCCTTTTTTCTTCTTCCAGGTTTCTTTAGCTTCCTGTTGGGCTTTTTAGGAATGATGATGTACGACGGCGGGCGCGTGAGACAGTCCGGGATGTTTCAGGGCTACAGCGCCATCACCTGGACGGTTGTTGTCCTGCAGGTTGGCTCGCTGTGATTCCGTTCGGTATCTCTGATTTTACCTTTTCATTTCCACAAGAAAAACGCGTTGAAACTGGAAGACAAAGGATACAGTTCTTAACTCGACTCTGACTTTTATTTTATTCTAAGTACTTTGTAGGAAATATACGCAGCTCCATGCAGGAAAGTATTCACAGCCCTCGAACTTTTTTCACATCTTATATCACTGTATTTTAATAGAATTTTGTCTCAGACCAACACATGATCAAAGGAAGTAGACTTATGAATGTTTTTTTAAAGCTCTTAAAAATAAAAAGCTTTTTATTTTATTTATTTTTTTACTTAACCCCTCTCCTCCCTTGGTTTGCCTTTATTTAACTAGGCAGGTTGATTCAGGAGAAATTCTCATTTTCAACAATGAATCGATCAGAAACCATGAAAACAGAATATATGATCAAAGGTGTCTGATGAAATGAAAAGAGAAAATAAGCAAAAATAATTTATGCATTCACTTCTTCCTGCTATAGGTCATTAGAATTTTTTATCACTATTTCTATTCGGGGTCATTTATGAAGTGAAAGTAGTTGTGGTTTCACTGATTTGTTGGGATCATGTGAAAAGCTTTCAGACTTTTAAACTTTGCGTTGCAGGCTGTGGGCGGACTGGTCGTCGCCGTGGTGATTAAGTACGCGGACAACATCCTCAAAGGATTCGCCACCTCCGTGTCCATCATCGTGTCCACACTCATCTCGTACTTCCTCCTGAACGACTTCCATCCCACGGGGTAACCGTGGCGACATGAAACGAGCCTAGCCAGCCACCGTTTGTGTATTGGATTCCTATAAATCTCTCCTCTCTCTCTCTCTCTCTCTCTCTCTCTCTCTCTCTCTCTGCCTCTCTGCTCTCCCAGGGTGTTTTTCCTGGGAGCGACGCTGGTGATTGCTGCCACGTTTCTTTATGGCTACCAGGGCAAGCCCGCCAACGGCGCTGTCAAAGGGTAGTCAGGGAGCTCCAGCGAGCTGATGGATGGGATGGGATGGCAGACCTCCACCCCTCCACACCTCCCTCTGCCTCCTGCATCAATGGATTGTGAACTGTAACCACCGCTCTGGTGCTCCCATGCTTAAGATGCAGGAAGAGTAGGGCCAGCGGATCCGGTTATCGTGGAGCAGCTTCAGCTGAAATCATGGAGGCTCAAATTTTGTTGCAGAAAATACAGGGTGGTTCACACTGTGACGCTGTGAAAACGAAGAGAGCAGTTCAGTCTGCAGTTACAAGAACTTGGGATGCTTTTGTTTCATACATTTGTTAACTTTAGTGACTCGGGAATGGGAACGGGAAAGAGCGTCTTCCTAAATGAGAGCATCATATCTGACAGTATCTGAGTCAGATGGGGAGAGCGCAAGCTCCCCCTAGTGGCGGGATGAGGAGGAGGAACCTTGCTGCAAAGAGGAGGGGTTTACCTCCACCAAGTGATGCTGGATGTTCTGGGGTTTTTTTTATACCAGATGAGATAAATGCAATGAAAGCAACATGACTGCCCTGACATTGCTACTCACCGTCTTGGTATTTATTTGAAAAAGATTTTCTTCTGTCGTTCCATAAATGCAAAATAAAGTCTTTTATAGATGAATGAATTAAAATATGCTTCTACTTGATTTTTCACTCACTTCAAAGGAGTGTACATAGGGTCTATGTGGGTGTGTGTTTTTGTGTCCACTCTCACACTGATGCATTCACAAAAGAGGAGCAAGGCACACCCATGAATATTTTGAACAGTTTTTTTTTCTCTCTTTCCCCTTCCTCTCCAGTTGCGCCTCACTCTGGAAAACCAAACCGGTCTCTATAGCAACAGATGGCTGAGTAAGCCGAGGTGCTGTGACAAAAGCAGAGACACCAAATTGCTGTGCCCGGTTCGTCCTCGGACTGTTTTCGACGGCCTCATCGTGTTCTGCGTTGTGCGTTTCGTGACGGAAAGAAAAGACGAGGAGGAACGGAAAAAGTGCAGTGGGAGAGGAAGGTGAGGCGTGAACCTGGAGAGAAGCACAGATGGAGGATGAGTCATGTGACAACGTGTGTGGAGTGGCAGGCAGGACCTTGGAAAGCTGTCAGGTCGAGCCGATGGATGGACCAGGACCAGGAAAACAAGGAGGAGGGGAAGGTGGCAGGGCCGTCAACAGAATGTTTGGTAAAGGGCGACTGCTGCTAATCTGGAGGTGGAACAACAAGTTAAAGCATTTTAAGAACAAAAAATAAAACAAGCAAACAAACACCTGATCTGAACTTTTTCAGAAGAAAGCAAAGTTCAATTTCTGCACAGATTCTGCACAGAGTGATGTGTTTCTAGTAGGAGTCACTTTTGCCTGAAAAGACAACAGAATATTGATACGTTTTCCTACTTTCAGAGCATTCACATAAAAATCAGACTCTTTTCTTATATTTTAATATCTCAGGTGCACCAGTTACAGCTTCCTGGCCAATCACAGATCTTTAAAACGTCTGAACTGCTCATTCCGATTTTGGTCGTTACAGATTTGTCTGAAAAGTTGCTAAATGTAGCAATAAGGTTGCTAAGTTGGCAACAGTGGGGTAACTGTTGTTAACCATATATGCGCAAATGTAAGCAAGTGGGTGTGTCTGTCAGTCAGTCGTCTCTGATGTTAGGGCAAGAGAAGACAGAAGTTGACTTTCAGATTTTGTGGACTTAGATTCGATCCATTACTTATGTAAATATCGGCCCATCGCGATCTCTCAAAATTAAGGAAATCGGCCCGATTTATCGTTCAGCCGATTTATCGGTGCACCCCTAATTTCAAACTTTAATTTCAGTTCATTTTGATGATAACGGCTTACAGCCTTGTAACGAAAACTGCAAAAATCAGTTGTTGCATAAGACAAGACACAGTACAACAATAGATCCTAGTTATCGAACTAGTGCATCAGCAGAGTGTTCTGCTGAGGAGTTTGGGAAACATCACACATGCTTCAGTAAAGTACCATGTGAACAGTCAGCTTGTTCGGTGAGCTCTTGCTGGACAGCTGCCTTTAGTCAGCAGGTTTTCTCATTCATGTGGATTATGACATGTTCAAAACATAACATTTTGGCATGTAAAATATATTTACATTTTGGCATGTTAAATGAGAAACAGGAGGGTTTCAGTTGCTGAAATCCACAATCACCGAAAATAAACAGAGCTAAACGGTTAGAATACAAAACACTCTGCAAAAGGAATTTATATTATAAGACCTTAATATGTTTTAACTTGAATTTATGAAATAAAGGCATCTGTGATGATATTTTTAAAAAGTATTAAATAAGCATATTCAATATTGTCATATGCTTTTTGAGGCCCATTTAATAATGTGTGCATATAGCCTTAAAGTAGGCTACTGTAGCTACGTTTTTACTTAGATACATGATTCTTGAATTATCTGAAGGCAAAATTTTAACTTTTTTTTGGTAACGCATAATTTTATTGTGATTACCAACTAAAATTTTAGTGTGTGGATTACATGAGAATGAATTATGGAAGGCCAAAAGTTGAAATCAGATTTGATAAATGTAGTTTAATGCAGCAGCACTGCATGAATTGCCAAAGTCAGTGGGCGGGGCTTACACTGCTCTCCTGTCAACCAATCAAATGTCTATTTAACAATTCAGTGGCAGGTGCTGCACTGCTGCTGACATAATTAAATAAAGCTTGACTGCATATGTTCGCATACGATTGAAACATAAAACTAATTCAAATTTAATTTTGGCATTTAAATTATTGACCCACTTGAGTAAATATGCATGAATGTATTCATTTCCAGTTTTATTTAAATTGTCACATATATAAATAATCACTTTGTCATGTATTTGTTTCTCAAAATCTGATACAGTTTGCCCTCTTTAGGTGGAGAAGTGAGGAGAGAAAAAAAATGACACGAGCATTCATGTGTAGTAAATAAATGTCGTAAGACTCTGAAGCATGTTCTTTTCTTAAATTCATGTTCATAAAAATATTACTCTGATAGGACTGCCAGCGAGGGAGGCGGCAGAAGAGTGACTTCTTAGAAGTAGTCTTGGTGTAAATCCATACCAAGAAAACTATTAAGAATACATATACAATCCTTCACTGGAGTAACTTTATCTGTGACATTACTTTATTAGTGCCACTCTGGTTGGTGGACACCTCCAGCTACAGTATGTGTCCGTGTGCCTTATGGCAGTACTCCAAATCATTTACACTGTACTTATAAGCTTGTCTGGCATTGTTTGTTTTTTTTCTTATTGAACGCATAAAGAGATCCAGCTCATCTTTAAAGCCATCCAACACCCACTGAAATACAGTATATCAGCTGCACAAAAGAGGCGAAAATATGCCAGAAAACGGTAGCAGTAGTGTTGCTCTTCCACGTGGGTGCTCTCTATACAATCTGATGGATGCATGGGTTTTATCTTAAGCCTAAAAAGACTCATATAATACTTAAGATTCCTTTAATAGCAGTACTGGGTTGTGCTGAAGGCCTTTGTTGGCACCGACGAGGTCAAACCAGCCTGCATTGTATTTTGGCTGACTTGTCAATCAAAATGTCTTCAGGTATCAAGTTATACAAAACAAACTGCTGCTCTTAAACTTCTATAAGAACAGTTGTTTTTTTTTTCTTTCTTTTTTTTTCTCTTTTTTCAGTCTCCTCACTCTCATGCAATAAGGTCTACATAAGGATGCGGGATACAGTTCTTGTTGTTGACTAATACCTCGGTGGTACGTCTAAAAACTGGGTTTGTACTTTGCTAAAATGCAGGCAGAGATAAATATTCAGTTCAAAACTTATCGGGGGCGGCGGGGTTTGGACAAGCCTTGATGTCGCTCAAGGTCCTGGAGGACAAACTGTGGTGTTTTCTTCTGACTGCTATGTCAGATTCAAGATTCAACCTTCGCTTTGGCTTAAGGTAACAGTCCACTTCAGTCCTTTAGAAATTAGGACCTGCAAGGACACCAGCGGACACTGTGACCACTCCGCCCTCCCTTTTTCCTTAAAGGGAGCACCTATGCTTTTGTCTGTGCAGAGATTTCACCCCCTCCTATTTTGGCGGTATGACCACAAGCGGTGCCCCTCTACGCGGCCTCCACATCAGCACTTGGGCGTCGTTGGCGTTCGGCCTTCCCAGAGCGTTGGGAGGAATGGGCTCCTGGTAGTTGAGGATGTGCGGCTGCTCCTGGTACGGTCGACCCACAAGCGAGGCCCTGGATCCGAGTGGCATGTCCGGCTCCACGGCGATGTCGACCCGCATCCTCCACCGCACTGTCTGCAACACAATGCGCTCCTACAAAAGACAAGAAGGATGTACTTAGTATGGCAGGAATACTCCTTCAATAATGGGAATTATGATGGTCTTGAAGTTGCATTATGTTATCTATTACATGACAGGGGTGTCCAAGTCCACTCCTGGAGATCCTGCAACTTTTAGATGCATACCTTCTCTAACACAGTTGGATCACATAAACTCACCGTTACCAGGTCTTTGTAGAGCTGATCTGGCGAAAGAATTCAGCCTTTTGACTAAATGGCTGGGAGCAGGGATGCATCTAACAGTTGCAGTCATGAGGACTGTAGTTGAGCACCACTGGTCTTAAACTATGCTAATCTGTCCAGAGAGAAGCTGAACAAGCTTTAAATTCAACAGAAAAGAGGCCTGACTAAAATCTTCGGCTGCAGCCTGACTGAGTTTTAATGACCACTGCAGGGGCTTTCCATTGGCCATAATACAGTCATTTGTAACTTTACACCAAAAGAGAAAAGTGCAAGAGGAGCTGATACCATCACAGCCTGTCTGTGTGAAATAGAGTCTGGATGTACAGCCAGTGTTCTGCATTAACAGCTCAGACAAAAATGTTGATGGACGCACGTGAAACCGAAGCAAAACGATGCGAAAACAGACAGCCGACTTGCTCTCTGCGGTCTGCTCCTACCTTGGTGACAGAGTTCATGGCCACCAGCCAGGTGATGAAGCTCTGATCCCGGGTGATGTGGGTCAGCATCGGGGTGTTGCTGTTGCTTATGGGGACTGCCCAGGTCACGCTGGGGTAGAAGTTGTCATTCATGCTGACCGTCAGCCGAGATGGTTTGGACGTGGGGCCGGTCAGGGTCACCGTCTCCGTGGTGTTGCCATACCAAGGGTAGCTGACGCCATCCGAGTCGCTGATGGCCTTCACCCGGCCCTCTCGCAGCTCTGGTAGCTCCCAGCTAGACCTGCACCAAGACAGGACACAGAAAGGTGAAACTTACTTTGCCTGAGTGAAGATGCAACATAAAAAGCCAGGTGGCGTCTTCTCCTCACATGCCAATATCACCATAGGTGTTGTAGAACTCCATCTGGGTACAGGCTTGGATCCAGCCCACCACCCAGGTCTCATTGCGGGGCACCGGCGGCATCACAACTCCTGCTGAGGCCCTGAAGTAGGGTGTCTTATAACGGAGCACAATCGGTGAGTTCTCCTCTATGATTGTAGGACACTGGTCAATAGAGGCAGACACCTCGTACACCACGATGTTCTCCCGCCTGATGCGAGGCTTGCAGGCGATACTTTGAAGGCAGCCCATAGTGCAGGCGACAAGCAGAAGGAGCAAAAACAGAGAAGGAGGGACCAAGTGATGCCTGGCCAGTATGCTCATCGGTCCCCCCTCAGGGCTCCACCCGTGCTTGGAGAGCAGACCTAAGCTTTTAATTGCACATCACCAGTGATTGGTTGGGAAGGAAGAGTGGAGAGGATGATTGGGGAGTGCCACAGTCACCACAGATCAAGCACACAAACATCCACCATCATATCTCCAGGATGGTGTGGAGAGCGGTTTCGGGGGAGAGTATATCACAGATCTCCGCAGCCTCCTCCCCCCGGTCTGTCTGCTGACTGCCGCACTGCCCTTGGCGCTCGTCCCCAGAAACTGCAATCCGGCCTCCCCTGGGCTGCTGCTTCCGCTCCGCCGAGCGTCCCCCGCTCCTGGTCGAGTCCGCACGTCCGGCTGCACGTCGGTGCCCCTTGATCCTGCTGCCCTGCTGGCGGCTCTGCGCTGTCATGTCAAGTGGCGACAGGGCAGCCAGGTGCGTCAGAGGAGGAGGAGGAGGATGAGGGCTGGGATGCCTTTTGTTCACTCGACTTTCCTCGGATTTGCCCGAAATTCACGCGGCGCCCTCGAAAGCCAAAATCGGGGTTTTCATCGCTCTGACCTACATGGAAACAGAAGATGCGAAAAGGCGAGCTCGTAAAGGCGGAGCCAGCGCGGGATGTTTTAGTGCTTTCCTCGCAGAGCGCTTCCATCCGCGGAGACCCATGAATGGTGCATCATGAATGGAAGCAGCGAGGTGGAACGGACGTGATAAAAGCATACCATCAGCCCCTCGGTTAGCCGCCTCATCGCCAGGCTGTGGATCATAACGGAGCGGAGAGCATCCTCTTCCCAGCGGCGGGTCGCCTTGTACGGTTTGGAGGTGCTGATGCTGTAGAGGCAGCGGAGGGATGAAGAGACAGAGAGAGAGAGAGAGAGAGAGAGAGAGAGAGAGAGAGAGAGAGAGAGAGAGAGAGAGAGAGAGAGAGAGAGAGAGAGAGGGAGGGAGGGGCGTCACCCGACCTCTGCATTGAAAAAAATAACAAGTGCACCGAGAGGGCGTGGCCACGACTCCGCATGACGCACCGTGCGGGGACACCTCATTGGTGGATGAAGTCAACAGCGGAAGTGGAAGCCGTCTTGTTCTTCCACCGACCGACACAACTGACACGCACTCACCGGTCACCACGGCGCCGCTTCCCCGCTCGCTCGGTGCTGGTTTATGTTGGGCCGCTTGCTCGGTAACGCGTCGCAGAGCTTGTTGAAGCGGGTGTCGCGCATCATGAAGCCGAAGGTTATCTTCGTCCTGGGCGGGCCCGGCGCCGGCAAAGGGACGCAGTGCTCCAAAATAGTGGAGGTATGATGGAGGAAAGACAATGAAATCTGGCCACTTCCGTTGCGAAAGTGCAGCTCGGTGGCGCGAGAAGCTTTGAGCGCTCCGACTCATTATTACGTTTTTATTATCGACCTAGTAACCATGTCTGTTTTTCTATCGCCTTCCGCTTGTCCTCTAAAAGTAGATGTTAGCTAGCTAGTTAGCTCCGTTTCAGCTCTGACGCCGTGGCGCTTGTAAACAAACAGAACCAGGCTCCACTGAAGCGGGGAAGACGAGTTTAATGACGCCACTGAGACCAGCACGCGCTCCCCATGCAGCGCCAGGTTCATCCGGAGCGAACAGCCGAATGAATGAGCGAAGCGAACATGACGTAGAGCAAACGGAGCCGGCAGGATGTTGGGTCCTTCCTACCGCCTGGTCTGCGCTGCTGCAGTTACGTAACAGCCAGGGCCAGTCTGGAGGGCCCCGGGTCCCCCTCCATCAAACAGGAACACATGTTTGAGCAAACATCTATTGATTTACTGACAAGATGGAGTTCACTGTACCGAGCTTAAAGCTTCAGCCTCTTCTCGGTGTATTTTCTCTCATGGAGATGTGAAACACTACCAGTAAGTTGTTGAAATATGCAGACATAGATCCATACACGAGGTAAAGGGATTACCTTACTGACTGGATACCTACTAGCAAGCTTAGGGTCAAAATTGTCTTTGGTAATGTTTTTTTTTTTAAAACTTTCTCTGTGGCTGTTTTTAGCTTCAGTGATGTTCACAGGGGAGACTCCACCGCTGCTGTGTGGTTATTAGCCAGAAGGAACAAAAAAATCAAATCAAATAAAAAGATAACTTGTTAGGTTATTCAAACTTCCATTATACGGCCTCTGCGGTGTTTCACAGATTATTGATGTCAATCAGTTTATCTTTCAGAAATCCCAGTTCAGTTAAAAAACGCTCTATCTGTTCCAAAAGGCGCAAATCGTTTCATGCAAGTATCTTCCAAAGCACAGCTGGTGCTGCGCGTCTGTAGCAGTCAGTCTTGCAACAAAGCTCTTGAGGACTCTGACTGAAGACTGATGCTGTATGACGGTCTGATGGCTGTCCTGACATGCTCATGGCTCAGTAGCCAGGAAGCAGAGACTGTATTCCATCCATAGCAGCGTCTCCTGGACGGCACCGTCACTTTTTGGCTGGCTCTGCTAATCCACCTCATTGGCTTTTGCCACTCCAAATGTTCTCACACTGTTGTTTTACAGTCATTCAGTTCAGTCCTCCAATCAGGCGTTGTATTGCTGGGATTTATTAGATTCTCATTCATTTGATCCAAATTTATTTCTCATCCAAAATAAACTCAAAATGGAATGTGAAGTGAATTAAAAAGCAGCCAAATATTCTACAGCATCATATGTAATAGCCACATGAGCATATCATCTTCAAGAGGACTTTGTTTATAGACCAGTTATAGATGAAAAACCAGTTTCCATCTGTTAGCTTAGCATTGTTCTTCCTGTCCTCCCACTGTTTGTGTTTAACGGTAAAACCGGTTTCTTGCTAAAAGCATTGCAGAGCGGCATTCATGCTAGAGCTGCATTCATGCTCGCTACCAGCACTCATGCTGGTAGCGAGGGTTTTATGATGGAGACTTTGCACCAGCGTGATTGGGTGTCGGCTGCCACGTTGCCAGAGCAAGCAGTCAGACCTGAATGACAGAAGCTCCTTTCATTCAGGACACAAACGGCCGACTTTTTCCGAGCCTCACGCTTCCAGTCTGATAAAGCACTCATCGTTTGTTTGGATAAAAACGGAGCAAGGGATGCACGCGTTCGTTGTGTTTTAACCCTGAACATCAGTTGATCATATGAAAATTCTATCGTTTTCTGTGTGTGCGTGCGTGCGTGCGTGCGTGTGTGTGTGTGTGTGTGTGTGTGCGTGCGTGTGTGTGTTTGTTTCAGGCCTACAACTACACTCATTTGTCAGCTGGAGATTTGCTGAGGGCAGAGCGAAGCAGAGAAGGGTCTGAGTTTGGACAGCTCATCGATAACTATATCAAAGAAGGCAAAATCGTCCCGGTGGAGATCACCATCAGCTTACTCAGACAGGTACGCATCGGGTCCAGGTTCTGCATACAAGTTGCCTACAACTTCTGCTTAGATGAAGTTGTATGCAGAACCACACAACGTCTGCACACAGCTTTGTCAGGGCCAGGTTCATCGTTAGTCAATCAGTTTTATTAATGTAGAAAAAACACTTTTTTCTTTTTAAAATGTTGTGTGACTGAAAGAACTATGATGGAATATTAGGGCCGTTACAGACAGCAAAACAAAAGAGGTACATTCCTACCCAAAATCTCTTGGAAGTTAAGAAGTTGAAAGTTTTCAACTTTTGAAGCTTGACATTTCTGTTCTTTTTTCTAGTTTAATCTCAAAATGAGGTGACAAAATTAGTGGTACTCCCTTTAAGTTCCTTTAAAAATAAATGTGACTCTAGATGACTATGTCATGCTAGGAGAGATGCAGCAGAATACAGTGAAACTCTCACCACTGATCCCAGTGATCTTCAGCAGTGCGACAGAAGTTGATGTTCTTCCAAACTTGGGGAGATGACTCAGCAGTTTATTTCAAAATGTGATTTTTATTAGTGCAGTGAAAGAAAGCCAGCGTGTCATAATAAACATTCCTGCAGCTGCTCCAGAGTTGCCAACAGGTCATTTATTCTGCTTCTTTTGTCAACATCTGTTTTTCTGTCCAAGGTTTTCACAGCTGCTCTGTGAGCCGCTCCAACTTTGTTTGTGCCAGTCATGCAAACCTGCTGCGTTTCCATTCACCATATAATCGCAAAATTTGACATTTCGAAAATAAATGTGCTTAATTCGTCGTAGTTTGGTTATGATACCCACATGCATTTTCCTGTGTACAGTACAATTTTGAATTATTCTATTTGTTCCATTCGCAAACCAAACCAAACCAAACCAAACCAAACCTGTGTGATAATGTTAAAAACCAAAGCCCAGGCCTGATTACTGTGTGCTTTACTAGATGTGTTAATATTTACACAAATTAAATCTATAACTCTGTCTTTTGATCACATAATTTTATAGTGAAAACATGTAAACATGTTCGAAATGAGTTTATTTCACAAAACTGCATCGGAAGCACTTTTTCCACATCACAGGAGTCACATGATCAACATCTGAATGTTACTGCTGGAGCAAACTATGAAGAAGACAACCACAGGAAGTAGATGGAGGACGGTGGCGCGTTTTTTAATGACTTGTTGCATGAACAATGTTATCTTGGGATTTTAATCATGTTTCTTATTGAATGGAAATATCACAACTGCAAAGTTGTGTTTCTGTGACATTAGCAGCATGTTGACAAAGTTTTGCGCACATTTTGTAACGTGCAGCTGTTGCCATTTTTGTGGTTTATCCCCCGTTTAGTCCATGGAAGAGACGATGACCAAAGATCAGAACAAGAGCTATTTCCTAATCGATGGCTTCCCTCGTAACGAGGACAACCTGCAGGGCTGGAAAAAGGTCATGGACGGCAAAGCAGATGTCAAGTTTGTGCTTTTCTTTGACTGCAGCAACGAGGTGCGCCACCGAACGGAGCATCCGAACCCACAACCGCTTTATTTCAGTCCAACACATAAAATATGACGATGTGACGTGTGCGCAGGTTTGCATCGACAGATGTTTAGAAAGAGGGAAGAGCAGCGGACGGACAGATGACAACAGGGAGAGCCTGGAGAAAAGGTGAGACGTCTGCTGAGTGCTGAATGCATGCTAGTTTGATTTGTTTCTGTGTGAAGAAGTCCAGCTAAAATCCAGCATGTCTGATTGCTCTGGCCTATTTAACTGGCCGACTGGATACCTGCATATGTCGCTGGCCTGATTTACGTCTCGTTCGAGTCCCCTGTGCGGCCCGACCCCAATTACCAGCTGCCGTTTCTTCTTCTTCTTCTTCTTACGCAGAATCCAAACCTACCTGAACTCTACGCGACCAATCATCGAGCAATACCAGAAACATGGCAAGGTGCGCACCATTGACGCCTCCCGCTCCGTGGACGAGGTGAGGAAATGCCTCGATACGGCTTTTTCGCCGTTCTTAAAGCCCGCTGAAACATTTCCACATTTTGTCTTTTTTGGCCGTCACTTTCCTAAAATATTGGGCTTAAGGTGATTTTTTTTTGACAAAGGCATTTTTGTCTTTTGACAAAAAAATGACTTATTTATTTTTATTTAAGGAAGGAGACAACACGAAGTAAACCAACTCAAGGTTTTCAACATTTTCCACCAATAAAAATCTGTAAAGTGCGGCATGCCTTTTTATTGTGAGCATCCACCCAAACTTTTTACAGGTTTCTTCTTTCCGTACCTTCATGAAGGCCAGATTTGAGGAGTTCTTGACTAAACCTCAGATGCTTTCTAAGGACGCTCTCGACAATGAGATGCTGCATCACAGACGGTTATCCTTTAAATAAATAAATACTCCTCTACGTCTCTTTCACAGACATGTCCCTCTCTCCTGCTTCTCTGGTTAATGCTATCCAAACTCGTCATCATTTTAAATATGATTTAATTTTGTTTTGCTTTGTAGTGAAAAGACCAGCAGGTAGTGGAGCTCCTGCCTCCACTGTCTCCATCATGCTGGTTTTTTAACAGTCGTCTCAGCAGCGGAGCCCAAAGTGGGTCCTGAAGGGCCGGCATCCTGCATGATTTAGTTCTCTCCCTGGTCTAACACACCTGAATCAAATGATGGCTCGTTACATGGCCTGAGAAGAACCTTGACATGCTGGGAAGGTTGTTGGTTCTACCAGGGAGAGAACTCAAACGTGCAGGATGCCGGCCCTCAAGGGCCCACTTTGGGCACCCCTGATCTCCTTTAGGTGACATCTGGAGCCCTTTGGGGTTTAATTCACAACAGTCTTTCTCTAACTGTGATCCGCCGGCGCCCCCTAGTGGCCCGCAAGGTACTGCATGTAAGCGACTGTTTATTTACATGACTTGAGCTCAAATTGTAAGCTTAATCTCTTAAGCTCAAAGTTAGCTTAACAAAAGACTGTTTTTAAAAAATGATAATGGATAAAATTGTATCACTCAAAAAGAAAAACTGAAGACACTGGTGGAAGGAAAACAATACCAGGATTAGTTATATGAACAGAAGAAACCAATGATATCTGCTGTCAGAGTTGATGTTCACTAGTGACTCGACTCTTTTGAACGGTTCTTTGCCATGAACTGTAGGACTCCACACTCGGTTGATGAGAACTTTTCTTTGTTTTTTGCAACTTTGCTTGTTGATAGAGCTCTGCTCACACATCAACAGATTTGTTGCTTTTGTTTCTGCCAGTGCAACTCAAGTCTATTTTTCTTCTTGTTATGCTTCTGAATTACAAATACAGAAGCATAACGTTCTTAAAGCACACAGCAGCTGTAGTGAAGAACAGCTTTGTTTTTTGACTTGCTGTCATTGGAGAGTTTAGAATCCACACTTTCAGAGTTTGTAAATAACTCAAAACGCCCCGAGTCAACTTGTTCATGGTTCGTCGTGGCCATCTTCTAAACACCATTAGCTTTCTCATTAGGATGAACAAAGACGACTATAAGTGACTTGAGACTAAAATTGTAATTTCAGGTTGTATTTATTAAGATGTTGTTATTGTGGGGGTTTTCCAGTTATGCCATTCAAGAGCGTTTGTTAAATGTGTTAAATGGTCCTCAGTCTGGAAACGTTTGATTTAGAGGTGTGCCGCACTTTTTAGATTTTTACATGTGCAGTCAACCAAATGTGAAAATCTTCCACTTCAACTTAAAGTTTGCTGTTGTAATGTGACAAAAAGGTGGGAATGCTGAATAGGAGTGCATGGAGACGGTGTTTGTTTTTCTTTCTTTCTTGTCTTTTTAACCACAGAGAGAAACTAAGCCCCGCCCTTTTGTTTCCTGTCCCTCCAGGTGTTTGCTGATGTGAAAGCCGTCCTGGACAAAGAAGCTTGACTTTTTCCAGCTGTCAGCAACATTCATTTATCTTTTAAAGTTTCTTTTTATCCACTACTTCAATGCATTTCTATGTCCTTCCAGATGAGTTTTTATGTTTTTCATTTTGATTTCCGTGTCTTTTTGTAAATGCGGCGCTGTTCGTGCGAACCCGCCGCGCGGTTGATAGAAGTAATGGGGCTGTGGGCCGGGTGCTGGGGGCCGGGTGCTGGGGGCCGGGTGCTGGGGGCCGGGTGCTGGGGGCCGGGTGCTGGGGGCCAGGGGACGGGAGGAGATGTCCAGCAGCTACTCGCCATCGACCCGTTCCGAACCTCTCCTCTCGAGACGCTTGTAATTTTATCAAAGACGCTGAACGCTATCATCAACATGGTATTTAGCACTAATGTCTTCACAGTATCATGTCATTAGAAGGAGCTGTGATGCTTCAGACCAAACTGTCATGTGACCTGGTGACAAGGACCGAGTAGACTCTTCATCGATCAGCCAATAACCTTTCAGGAATCTCATTAAATTCAATTGTACATCTGTGTCGTGTTTGGACAGCGGCTGCTCCACATGGAAGCATCCAGCATCTGGTTGGGGGGGGAAAGGCGGGAAGCGTGAGACGTATCTTTAGCAGAACATTTTGATGCACGTCATTGAAGAAATAATATCTGGGACAAGTTGAAATAAATATGTAGATGAAAATGAATTTTTTTTCGAATGACATGTTTGAGGAGGATTCATAAAGATGGAAAGTGAAAACAAAGCATTGTTTTTGTTTTTTGGGGTTTTTTTTTTTGCTATTTTGGTTATGATACCAAATATCATAATCATTCATTTTAAGGAGAACACCTATCAAAGCCAACTGAGACCTGTGTGAAAATGGGAACATTAAATCCTGTTTCATTATCCACACTCAGTGCACATGACTACATATGTTTACATCATCACAGAGTCAAAATCCAACACAATGTGTATGTAGCTGTTTCCATTGAGCAAATTTGTGCAATATGGTATATTGAAAATAAAATAGCTTGATTAAAAACATGCAAATGTTGAAAATTATTTTTTTACTAATACATTTTTTACTAGGATTATGCTACTGATAGCAAAGACTTGCTCAAGATCCAATCAATGTTTTACAAACATCACATCATCAACCAGCAGGGGGCGAAACATCCCATGTTTCAATGCATGTTCTCAGCTTATGAACAAAAAAAACGATGTTTGTGAAAATACGTTCACTATCTGAAGGATTTAAGATCTTATTGTTTTTGTTTAAATGTATATCATTGTTTCTAGTCAGTTATAGATCAGAAGACAGACATTTCACACAAAAAAACGCCTCAAACTGATCCAGACTTTGAGGAACAAATTCAACAAGTCATTGAGGTCAAAGGTGAAATGAAAACACAACTTCATAACCAGGTTCAAATTTCACTCAACAGGCCTGACTGTATAGTCAATTAAAGCTGCCATATGAAATGGTGAACTAAGCAATGATTTGATGGTTGTAATACTAACCATACAGTTATGATATGTATTAATGAAACAGCAATTTAAAGCAAGCAGGAATGTATCCCACTGTTTAATGACATGGTCTCCTGCTGCAGCGAATCCTGAATTTATCTTTCGGCCTTGTCACCGTCAGTGGACGGAGCTGACCCGCATCATGTCATGTAGTCTGAAATCCACCTGGGAAGAGTCCAGGAAGCATTCATCAGGTCTCTATGGACGTTTTTCATCCACATCTGTACAAAGACAGAGGCCTGCCTTGTAGAAAACCAAACGTTTTCTTTGAATGTACATCAACTTGACTAAACTGCATCTGTGACCTTGGGTGACTATGTCAAGGCATTTTAAGTAATCTATAAAGAAGTTTAATGGGTGATGAAATTTCCCTTGGTGAAACATAGAAAACAATGCCAACTTTACACATGCCGGAGGCTCAAAACGTCCTTGTTGGAAGTTTGTTCTTACACACCATTAATCTGGATGAAAATACAATACATATAATTGTTGATATTTTTTACATATTTGTGAATATGTAAAAAACAAACATGCTTTTAAATGATTGAAAATGTACTGTACAGCTACAATAAATACTGGTTCTTAGTGTAGAATAGAATTGCTTCTTAAATACAGAACTAAGGTCTGTGAGAACCAGAATTCATCCTGATGTAAAATGATCAATTAATGCATGTTTGCAATAACACGCTAATTATTACCCCACCATGCTTAGGAGTGTTTTTAATGGGAATGTCTTGACCGTTCTCCAGGAAACACATTTGTGAGGTCAGACACCGATGTTGGACGAGAACGGTTGGCTCACCGTCTCACTTTTAACTAATCCCACAGTTTCTATGGGGTTAAACTGAGTGCTTTGTGTAGGCCGCCAGGCTCCTGTTTAACATGTTTTGAAGCAGTCTGCATCCCTGAATATGTGTTGTGATAGAGTATGTTTTTTTTTGTTTTACAAGTCCACTCATCTTTGCTTCATCATTTAGTCACGTTCTAATATACCCAGGTTCCAGGATTGTAAATATGTCACTAAGACTCATAGTTGTAATTTAACACCCAAAAATGATAGAGTGACGCATGTATGCTTCACAATACACATTTTATTGTTATATATAAATATATTTATAAATATATTTCATATGTATATTCAATTGCCATTAGAAACACATTTGCTTACATAGTACTGATATTCCTGAGTGTTTTAGCTTGAGCCCTGGTGTCTGCACATTAAAGAGCTTTACCCTTCTGGTAAGGTACCAACGATACCTTAACATGCATGTGCATTAATTAGCTCGAGTACCAAGGCAAACACATAACATATATATATATATATATATTTTTTTTTAAAAAAAGCAGTTAAGTACCAGGGCTTTCTGTTGGTCACAATTAAAATTCAAATAATTGTCAGTCTGTGGAAAAAGCCAACAGAAGAATGTAAATGTAAGGCACTGAACATCTGCCAAATATGATGAGTGTTTTACGAAGCGCACGGTTGAGTAAGGGGGAAATGGATTGCTACAGCACCAAATATTAGAAGGAAGAATCACATTTACAAAAATAAACAAGAATACAAAAGTGCTGGGAACGGGGTTTAAGGAGCCGTTGAGAACATTTAAAGTAGAAATACTCAAGCTAATGTATGAACACAGATATATTACAACATCATGGGCATGTGCAAGACACCAAGCTCAAAAAAAAATAATTTGTGAAAAAAAATTCAATATGTACAAAAAGTAGCGAGTTTTAAAACAAATGACAGTCTGTAAATATTACAGCATGTACCACAAACTATGACACAGCAAAAATAAAAAGCCCACAGCCATGAGGAACTGACAGTCACTCCATGAGGAAAAAATGTACCAACTGTTAATATATTCGCACTCTGCCAGCAAATAGTAGCTATCTGAAAATATATAATATATAGATATCTTATTTACACAAAGAGCTTTATGAAAGAAAAGTTCAAATCGGCATCATGACTGCATCAGACCAATTACTGGGCAGGTTCATACCTCATCTAAAACCAAAGTGTAACAGTGACTCCCTAATCGAGCAACAAAGAGGGCTGACATTCTGTCGAGGTATTTGCAAAACGGAGAAATACCCACTCAGATTCACATTCAAGACGTACATTCTGTTGTTGGGACATTCAAAATAAAATCGCAGACTAGCGTCTCTCACACATGGATACGTGCAACGTGTGTAAGCCCGGGGAAAAAAAGAGGCAAATATTACACTTGAGCGTCCGCTCTGTATTTTTTTTAACTCAGTCTGTAAGCGGCGGCCGGCGGCTAACTCAGGAGGAGTCCACCGGGCCGGCGACCATATTGCCGGGAGACCTGCGGTACTGAGCCTTGGTGTTTGTAACGGCGCCGTGTTTCTGTCGGAGATGAAGCCTGAGCTGACTCTTGTGTCTGAAGTGGAGGTCACATTTTTCACACTGCAGAAAGAAACAAAAAACACCATCAGACATGGTGCATTAAACTATGGAAGAACCTTTTAACCATTAAAAATAAAAAATAAAAGCCCAACAGAAAGTTTTCAGTTTTAAAGTCATACTTATGAGATATGACATTATAATTATGGGATTCATAGTTAATATTTTGGCTTTCAAAGTCATAATCATAAGATTCAATGTTTCATAATTATGACTTTTATTCTGATAATCATGACTTTGAATGTCAAAACTATAATTTTGAATCTCATAACTGCCTGGAAATTGAAGTAATGACAATATCAAAATTGAGATTGACTTTCAATCTTAAGATTGATTTTGAATGTCAAAATTATGACTTTTATTCTCAAAATTATTACTTTTGTCATCATAATTACAACATTAAAGTTTGTAATTATGACTCGCTGTTGGGCTTTTATTTTTTCTTTTATGGTTTTAGAACGATGCAAGGTCCTCCTTTCATGGAGGACCTTGTTATCAAGTGGTGGATAAGGGGATGGGAAGCTTACATGATAAGGCTTCTCTCCCGTGTGGATGCGCATGTGGCTCTTGAGCGTCTGAAGGTGGCGGAAGTGCGTCCCACAGATCTCACAGGGGTACGGTTTCTCTCCCGTGTGGATCAACACGTGGGCGCGGAGGTGGGCGACCTGGTTAGGGAAGAAACAGAAACGGTGACCGGACTGAAACGTGTCTTAAAATGATTTCAAAGGTCGGTGCTTCTCGATCTTCTCACCTGCACAAACCTAGAACCGCACGTCTCGCACTTGTATGGCTTTTCTCCAGAGTGAATCCGCGTGTGAGTCTTGAGGTTGGCCGGACGGTTGAACTGAGCCCCGCAGATGTTGCAGTGGTACGGCTTTGCACCTGGAAGCAGGTGCGGACAGGTTGAGCGAGGAACAAGCGTGGCTGCATCAAAGGGCTACAGCTGACCATAAAAAGCACTCACCGGTGTGAACTGTCTTATGGCTGGCCAGGTTGCCTTTGTAGCGGAAGGCAGCCTGGCAGCAGTCGCACTTGTATGGCTTGTCGCTGTGGACCTGACCCATGTGATCTTTCAGCGAGTCTTCCTCCGAGAACTTGGAGTCACACCCGTTGCAGAAGAAGCTATTTTCTGCCAATTTAAAAGAAAAAGAAAGAGAAAACAGCTTAAATTTAATGACTTTCAATCAGCAAAATAATATCACAGTCTGATGGTTGATGGTGTGGTACTCACCACAGCTAGAGGGCGAATAATCTGAGCACATTTTTGTGGCCTCGTCGCTGCTGAAAGAGGCTGGAGTGAGGTGGCTGGTCTCCATGCGCTGAGGACTATCGCAGCTAGAAGATCTAGAAACCAAAGAGTGCGTTTCAGTTAGTTATCCTTAAGAGATCCCCAATTAATGCCGATTCATCATGAGTTCTTCCAGTTGTACCTGCTGCTGCAGCTGAGTTCACTCATTTCCTCTCTGTGATTTCTGGCTCCCTCTTCTGGTTGGATCTCGTCATGTCCACCAGCTGCTTCACTACCGGCGGGGCTGAGAGAGGGTGAAGCAGATTCCACTTCAGCTCTGTTGCTCTGGGTCTCCCTCCCGCTCTCGTCAGGGGTTTGGTTCAGGACAATGAACTTGTACTTCTTCCAGTTGCGGGCCTTGGCGTCTCTGGGAGAATCGCAGGCCTGCTTCAGGCTCATTCTGGCGTTAATGCTGCTGCTGGACTCGGTGGGCGAGTTCGGCTGGCAGTCGGATCGGTGGGGGCTCTGCGGGCTGCAGATGACCCCCTTGCTGTAGCTCAGAGTAGGTCTCAGACAGCCGGTTTGTGGGTGTTGAGTGTTGTGGCCCTCCACGGGAGAAGCAGGACACTGGAGGTTACGGTGAGCTGCTGCCGGTCGGATAATGGAGGGTTGGGCCATGCTGGTGTTGACAATCTTTTTAGAACCTTCTAGTACCGTAGCGGGGATGTGCAGATCACCGTACACGTGGTAGGAACCAGTGGTGTTGATCCCCCTGAAGACATTGGGGACATACCCCCCACACTCCTGAGGGGACAACCTCAGTAAGAGGTTATTTCTAAAGTCTGGATCTTTTTCCTCAGCGAGCTTTTTAGCAGAGATTTCCTCAGCTAGATTCGAGGAGTTGTTCTGAACCTCTTCCATTTGCATATTCAGAGCCTGATGTCTGCAGAAACAAATTGAAATTAAAAACCGATCCCTGCAGCTTTCACAGAAACAACAAGATGCCATTTTCGAGTTTGATAGTCTGCGTTACCTGGACTTGATGAACCGGTGGCAGGTGTCAGCAACGTGCTCCATCTGTAGGTAGATGGCTGTGTTCAGGGTGGTCAAGGCCACAGAGTCATCCAGGTTCAAAAAGGAAGTGTACATGAAGTCCAGCAGGAGGGAAAAACCTTTAGGGTCCACTTTGGGGTCCAGGCTGATGGCACTAAGGCTCGCGTTCTCGGGTTTCATGAACACAGAGTAGAAGAAGCCACTGTAGGATTGAAAACAATTAGTTGTCAGGTAATAGTAGCAACGAGATGTTAAGTGCTCTTTTTCATCTCCAACACATACCTGCAAGCTACCAAGATGGCCTTGTGCGCATGAAAGATCTGACCGTCCACCTGCACCGTGACGTCGGTCAGGAGGTTCCTGCTGCGCAGGCGGTTGAAGTTGAGCAGGACGTCGCCTGCATGACGGGTGAATTGAATGCAGCCATCTGCAGTCATAGCCATGCTGTCGCAATCTGTGCAGAGGTGCAAAAAAAAAAAAAAAAAAAAAATCAAATCAAATTTCAAAGTGAGGTCAGTGAATACTGAATGTAAGGTCTTTGTATTTTTTGCAAATAAATTCAGGTTAAGGTCCAACACATAAAAAAGGTCATACGAACCAGCAAATAATTATATAAATCCAGATATGAATAAATGTTTATTAATCATGTTGGACAACATAAAAGTGTATTAAAATAGAAGTCATGTATGGGTGTGACAGGGCTAGTAAGTGGTGGAAATTTAAAAAAGGCACTAAGGACAAAAATGGAAAACATTAAAAAAAAAACTCAAAGCTTTCTGAAATTTATGCATGGAAAATATTATGATAAAAAGGAGCTTGCACACTCATAGTTTTTGTATGAGTGGCTGTCACCCTGGCTCTGCCTTCACATCTCCACTGACAACCCGGTGTTCTACTTGCGTTTCAACACCAGATGGCGCCATTGTAAACGGAAAAAACATGTTTACCAAACTGTGTGAAACTCTGCTTCCCGTCAACTGGGTCTTAACGACAGGACAGTAAACACGATACATCTACCGAGTGCATGCATGTGCTTCCCCCCCAAACGCCTGCACGCTTAATCAGTGAGGTTGTATTTACACAACCGACATAGTTTTTAAATACATTTTTCGTTTTTAAGGGTGGCTAAAAATGAATTCTAATTGATGTTATATGTTTGCCCCCCCAAAAGAAAATGAATAAGTTTGTCACAAAGTCCCCGGACTATTACGGGACACCGTTCTCATGTTTCTCTAATGTGCGCAGACAAACTGGCGCAGAGCGCGGAGCGCGCGCTGGCAGCCTGCAGTGTGTGAGCACATTCCGTCCTTCCTGCTCAGATTGGAGCTGCCAGCGCGCGGAGCGAGAGGTTTTCTGTTCCCCCCACATCACGGGAACTCGTCTAATTTAACCAGTTTACACTCACTCACACGCCCCCCAGCTAACCAATCACCCACCGTGTTTCTAAACTCCCCGAAATTGCCACACTAAATCTCATACGTCACGGCGTGAAAAGAGATAGTCGATTTCAAGGAGTGGTTTAATTGTTACAGCGTAACTTCGGGCTGCTTCAGAGCAGGCCAGCACAAGTCCTGTCAAGTTTGCAAATAGAAACGTTAAAGTTGCTCTGGAGTCTCTCCAGGGTCTCGTTAAGTGTTTCACAGCTGGCTCTACTATCAAAACAAACGCCGAAAACAAACGCTTTAGCGAAAAAAAAAAAAATAATAATAATAATAAAAAAAGAAACTGCGCAAAGAAAATTGTTAGTGACTGAACCGGACAGACCGGTTCTGTTGCGCCACAGCTAAACACAGCATGACTTTAAACTTGTGAAATAATAAACAGGAAAAAAAAGTTAAATAATATTTGCGAGCATTAAGCTACGAGTTAGAAAAATATCCGGCGCTACAGGTTCACTAAACACTGAGCGGAAGCAGAATAAGTCTGTCTAATGAACAGAAACCCAGTTCGACACCGCGCTTCCGTTTAAAACAGCGCAACATGACTGCGGCTGTCAAAAACAACCACCACAGTTCACATATGGCAGTTCACTCTCAGCTTAAATGTTCACGAAACACTCTAAATAAATAACAATCTCCAGCAGTACAGCAGCTGGCGCGGCTGCACAAGCCTCTGCCACTTCCCTACACTTCTGAGAAAATAGGAAGAGAGAGAGAAAAAAAAGTCACCTTATAAAAGTTTCCTCGAAACTCTGAGCATCACCAGTTCTGAGAATCCAGTTCTAAGAAACACAGCGGCTCAATTCTCGGAATTTTAACAGAAGGCTGTACCATTATTTGCGGGGCGGGGAGGCTCTCTTCCCCGTACGTCCCCTCAAACTGCATTAAAAGCACTTTAGACAAACACTATAGGTGCACGTCACAGACACGCTTTCTTTTAAGTGTTTTATAGTGATTACTGTGAGATATGTCAACTCTATAAACTCAAACGAATGGGTTATTACTAATTCCAACTCTCCCCGCGTAGTGGTGGCGTCCAAGTGCAAGGTCAGCTGACCGAGTTATAAATACTGCGGGGAACAGGACTGCTCGTTGTCTATCAAAACTCGCCCGGGGTCCTATGAAAATTGTTGGAAAGTCAGCCGCTCATGTTCCCAAAATGAGTAATGTGATGTCGGCGTGTTTATTTGTTGGTTTGTTTTTCACTTTCCCCCAGCCACACGCTGCTAATTCAAGCTGAAAAATGGATTTCCTTGTTTCTCCGAAGGGGGACACGACAGCTTCATCTGTCACAACTTCACCCGAGTTAGCGGACTAATGTCTCCACTCGACCCTTCAGATCAGCCATGTTTACGTGTCAAAACTTATTTCACGTCGTCTCACATATGTTTATGCGCATTGACTGTCATCAGACATGTTGCTGAAAATGATCTATTAGTTGTGTGTAATTTCTTATTGACCTAACACGCCCTAAGCTAACTGAAAATATGAGTACATCACAATGCATGCCGGGAAACTAAATGCTCTTATTTTCTAGTTTCCTTCCTCAACACATAAACATCCAGGAAAAATAACCAAATCATGAAATGTAGTGTGTAATAACAATAATTATAACAACAACAACAACAACAACAACAATAATAACTACAAATAATATTAATAATAGTAATGTAATATTATAGTGACATAATAATAATAATAATAGCTACTACAAATAATAATAACAGTAATATATAGTACATAATCTATGAGGAACTGGATATTTGTGACTAAGCCCTTGATGACTTTCATGATGTTTGTTTATGGCAGATATAAATATGATGCAATAGTCATTGGGAACAGGCTGCTTCATGGATATGGAGATGAGATCTGAAATATTCCTAGATGTCTGGGCCAGTTCCTTTTTAGCTGGACTCTCCCAAATCCACAACAGGTGATTCAATGTCCTCCTCATACACTAAATCTTGTTCTGTTTTGCTGTCTCCCTTTTAATAAAGCAGATCGCTTATTGGATTTACAGTGAGTTTCAATCTGTTACATAAATTGTTGTGCACAAATAAACAAGTGGGCCATTGAAGCGCTAAACACAGAGAATGTGATACAGAGAAGCTTTCAGCAGCTGTGGGCTCATAGCGCCTGACACTTATTATAAAGCCAAGGCCATGGCTCTTTAAATTGTAAATGAATTTTTCTTTGTGTGTCAGGCACATTGTGCATATTCCTGCTGGGTTTTCTTTAAAGATGTTCAGTGTGTTTTTCTTGCACAAATACGAAAACGAGCTGTGTTTTGCCAGAAGGAAATTCATTCACACCTTGCCTTCTTACAACCACAACCTTTTATGTATTTTATTAGAATATTCCGCGATAACTTGACACAGAGTAATGCATAAGTGAGATGTAAAAGTGAAAATGATGCATGGTCTTTAATTTTTTATAAAAACAAATCTGAAAAATGTGGCATGGATATGTACTGGTTCAAATTTACTCTGATACCCCTGAATAAAATCTAGTGTGACGAGGTGCTTATAGAAGTCAGGTTTACTCACAGATTTCTTTTGAAATATTTAAAATGGATGCAACTTGGCACACCGTTGGCTGGTGTTTGCGAAGCAGACAACCCAGGAGCACAATTTCTTCCCCTTGACACTGACTGTCTGTACTAAGTGTGCGCTAAGCCAGTTTCCACTGTGCATCTAAGTGCATATTAGGGCATATTTGGTGTTTGAGCCATTAAAAGAATCGGTCACATGTAGGTGTCCTTGGGACAGCTGTTTTGTAAAAATGCAAAATGTAAAAAAAAGTTCAGAAATACTTTGAAATGTTTTATTGCCTCCAACATTTTGGAGAACCTCGTTCACCAGAAACATAAAACATTTACTCTTGATAATGATATCAATCATGTTTCCCACATCACCATAAACTTGTCCAAATGTTCATATCTACAGTGCAAAGATCTTTGATTTATTATTAGTATTATTATAAATGAGCTTCTAATAAATCTCCCTGCCACTTGAGATCTTGCAACAAAGACAGTCCTATTCATCCATCCTGCAGCTGCGCACAAGTCATTGAAAATGTGGAGCAACTGCATTTTTTTTTCCCTTCACAAATATGCAAAATTAAATGAAACGAGCAGCAAAAACATTAAGGCTTTGCAGTCATCATGAACTTCAACGTGCAGAAAAGATTGCATGCAGTTTAAGTGGCTATGGCAAGAAAAAAGAAGTGTAGAGAATTGTTTTGCATCGCTGATGTTTTTCCCCTTGTGGTTATCTTTGGTGGCCTTCGTTTCTGTGGGTGCAACGTCTCCACATCCTTTTTCTGCAATGAATTACAGGAGACAAAAAAAGTTGCTCAGTCAGGTGCAGCAGAGAGCTCGGTCCAGTTCTTGGTGTTTTGTTCGCAGGCGAGAGGATGCACGGGTTTCAGATTAGCCAGCCTTTTGCTCGCGTGCATCAGTGCAACATCTTCGGCTTCTCACAAAGGCCTCGCTGCAGATAGCGAATAAGAGACAGAATTCTGCATGCGGTAGATAATCTCCTCAAGAAGGTATCGGCTGGATCTCACAAACATGCCACTTTTTGATTATTTAGCAAAGCAGTGCGTCTGGCTTTTCTAAACACACAAAGACAAATAAATAAAAAGAAGTAACTGTGTTCTGCAGTTTTGGGTGAAATAAAGGTATTTCCTGCCTTTCAGATTTCTTTTGTGTTTTTTGTCACACTTAAATGCTTCAGAACAAATTTGAAATTTGCAAACTGAAGACTTGGTGAACACAGTAAGTTATTTTTGAAGTGAACCAAGGGAAACAAAGTTGTCCCAATTAAAAGAACTCTGTGTAAAAAGCTTCATTGCCGCCCCAGATAAGTCATGATTTAACTGTGATTAGCCAAACTTTTTGATATGTTTCTCCGTCACGCCAAGATCTGACTGCTGTCGGCTTGAACAGAACCTGCCTGACCGCATGAAGGAGGCAAAAAAGATCCCTCAAGTAATATGATTTTCAAGAGAATGAGTGGAATAAAGTCATTGAGATGCGTCTGGAAAGTGTGACAAAGGAATTTTTAAGGCTTTAGGACTCCAGTGTCCCACAGTGGGCAACCTTCCCACTTTACTGAGATTGCTTCAGGCACCCAGGACAAATTCATCTGGGAAATCACAACCAAGAACAACATGTAGAGAAAAGCAATGCAAGCCTCTCTTGTTATAGCTAAGGTCAGAGTGCATAATTCAATAGTAAGAGACAAAAATGGCAAACTCCAAGGGAAAAACCACTGGTGACTACAAAAAAAAAAAAAAAAAAAAAAATCTAAACAAAATATAAAAACCACAAATTCACACATTTGACAATTTGACAGTCTGGCCACTATCTTCTTATTCACTTGATTCCCATCTCCCTTCAGTGCTCCATCTGGGATTTCTTCAATTGAGCTTGATTTCTCCAGTTGAATTTCAAACAGGAGAAGTTGTGAATGTTGACATTAATTTTCTAGTCTGCTCTTATGTTTATAATTTTCACAATGGGGGAGAAGGAAGGTAACAAAGCCATTAGGTTCTTGTTGGCCACGCCTCCAAATATTGAGCAATTAAAGTCAGAGCAACAGATTTATTCTCAATCACACTTTGATTAAGCAGCAGGACAATGAGCCGAAACCTGCCCAAAAGATAAAGTGAGGATTTTAAAGGAACCTATTCAAAGTCTGGGATGCTTTAATACGACTTTAAACAGATCTGTGTTAAAAAAGTTTTTCTTAACATGAAACAAACAGGCCATGACATATTTTGTGATGTGTTTTCTTTTCATCAAACAGAAGTTGTGTGTCCACAGCCCTCGTTAAAACAATGCTGCTGGTTGCTGGTTTCACAAACAAACAGCCTTCACTGCTTTTATCCAACCGACCATGGAACAAATCGGCAGCGGTTTTCTCTTTCCTGCTCAGCCGGTTAAGTAAATCTGTCTTATGTGTTAACAAGTGTCTCCCTCCACTCTCCAACCCCCACATACCCTCTGATGAACTCTGCTGACCTTTGGGCCCAGATGCAGACGGATAGCAACACGCCTCTCCCAAAACATGATCCAGGCACATGGTTGCCTGACTGGGACCAAAGGTCGTGTCAGTAAAATACGACTCTTTGCCTTCTTCCCCCTCTTCCCTTTTGAGGAGGAAAGGGGATATCAGGAGAGGAACAAAAGAGGGGAGTATGTTCAGCATGCGCTTGAATTTGAGGAATAGTATGCATGATTTACATTCATGGTGAAAAAGAAAAAGGAAAAAGTGCGCTCTGTTTGAATTTCCATTGTTAAACATGTCAGGGGAACATAAAGCAATCTGTTCTGGTTAAATTTAACCTCAAGTGACCACAAACACACAACTGTGATTATTGGTGAGTATGAAAAAGTTTTGTGTGGGAAAAAAAAGGAAACAATAGCTGCTTCCAGGTTTGACTACTTCTGTTAAAGGGACAGTATTATGTGATTTTGGGCATTTTACAGGCCGAAAACACAGCTTGTGAAAACTATGTTTCCTCAAGTTATTATAAAAAATGTTATATATACATTATAGTCATAACAAATATGACTTGAAAAAAATTTGACTTTCTAATTTAACGCCTTAAAATTGAGTCTGCCTTCAAGAAGTCATCACATCATTCCTTCCCTATTAATCCTTTAATATTGTTTCATTGGGAAGTAGCTCATATAATGAGCTCTGCAGTTAAATAGTTCCACCAGATGTTTGCTAATTGCTGCTGGCTAGTCTGAAGGAACAGAGTGTGGGAGTTGC